TTTTTTTTTTTTTTTTTTTTTTTTGCTCCCAAAAAAAATATATAGGAATTATAGAGGATTTTTTGAAAAACAAATATCATTTATTGAAACTTATATGACTTTTACATCCGATCGGCGTTTTGCCAGACCGCATGTCTGGTAGGCGGTTTTCTCAGTCTCAACACTTCCGCGTACGACTTTTCCAGCATCTTGAGCTTGGCGACCTCCTGGGAAGCGGAACTCGCGTACTCGTGGCCGTCGGCGTCCGCGTCCTTGGACACGCACCACGTCGCCCTGTGCGTGGGCGACGGTCTGCCGCCGCAGCCGCCGTCTGCATCCACGCTCTTCTGCGGTCTGCGCGTCACCTGGTCGGTCCACTTGTACTCCATCAAATGGCTGATGTCCTTGTTGGACTGTTGTTTGGACGACTTGCGGTGCCGCACGTGCTTCTTGTGCTTGACCGTGGCCGCCAACTCCTCGATGATGTCCCGCTGGCGGCGGATATGCTTCTGCGGCTGCTCCTGTAGCGATTGCTGCTGCCTGTCGATGTCGCCGCGCGACACTGCCGCCGCCGCCGCCGGCATCGACAGTCGCTTGTGCTGCAGCAGTTGCGGCTGATGTTCCTCCGCCGGCGCTCGCCGTTGATGTTCGGCCGCCACCGCGGTCGTCGTCTCCGTGGTAGTCGCCGCGACCGACTGCTCCAACGTCTCGACCAACGGGTTGATTTCGCACGCCGGCGTTGCCGGCGGCACTTTGGGCGCGGCGGCGGTCATCATCGCCGGGTCGTCGTCGTCGTCGTCGACCTCGTTGTCCCCGGCGCCGTCGCACTTTTCGTCCTGCAACAGCGGCAACTTCTCGCCCTCGTCCTTGGCCTCGGCCGCCCGCTTGAGCACGGCGAATATCTCGCGGAACAACTGCCGGTACTCGGGCGTTTTCCGGAACCGGCTCTCGATGGGACTGGCGTCGTCGTAGATGCTGAACCGGCAGTCGTCCCCGTCGGATATCGTGCACAAGAACGAACCGGTGAAGAACGTCTCGGTCTGCGTGCACTTGTTGCTCGTCTCGTCCGAGAAGCCCGAGGACGACGTGGTCTCCGTCTCGGAATACTTGCACGCCGTCGCGCTAACCGATCTGCCGCCGGCCCCTGTGGTTTCCGCGGATCCGATCACCTCGTCGTCCTCGCTGTCCGACGCGTTGCCGTTGAACGACGAAAACTGACCCGACATCTGCAGCTCTTCGTGCAGCGATAAGCCGCCCTGGCCGATGTCCTTGTTCGACGGCATCATCGTCGTGAACGCGTTGTGTTTCTGTTGGATTTTCAACAGCGCCTCGTATTTGTCCACTAGAATCCGATACGGATTGTCTTCCGAATAGTTCTCTCCCAACGTCTCCTGCACAAGAAAAAAAACCCAAACGTTCTATTAATAATCATTGTATATATGCACACGGTATGGCGACAAAAATAGAGTGAATTAAGATGGGGGTCGGTGCTTAGTTACCCGAAACTGATTACGAAACGTTGAATCCTAATTTCAACTAAACAGAGCGATTCACTAAGTGTGCTCGCCCAACGTTTTTAGTTAAATTTTGCATGTACTCAAATTTTTGGTGTAGTTAAAGTCGATATTTTCGAATACTTAGATTTTTCACAGCATTTAAGGAGTATCCTGTGGCGATACCAACTTTGGTTTCTCAAACGAAAACCTACATAAAACTTCCATAAATAGACGGAGTATTATTTAAAATGCACTCTGGTGCCGACATTTTTGATTTCCGTCAACCCGTTAACGAAACATTCCACTTTTAAATTTAGATAAAGGCAGAATAGTAGTGGATCACTAATACAACGTCGCGCGCCGTGCCGCCACACAAATGATACTCCACTATTCTCCCTCTGTTTAAAGTCTGTATCGCCACAAAATATACTCCTTAAATGTTGTGAACAATCTAATTATTCGAAAATATCGGCTTTGAACACGTTAAAAAATTTCGAAAATTAGAATTTGAATGCATGCAAAATTAAAAAAAAAAAATATATAGGGTGAGCACGCTTAGTGAATCACTCTGTATATACAGCGCAACGTGCGATTTAAATGTACCATTAGTTTATATTTTACTTCGTTTTTTTTCGAATATATTCTATAATATTATGTAAACCATTCCGCAAATTAAATCAGTAACCTGAAACGCAGAGCCGAAATTTGTCAGTTTTGAAATGTATTTGCTACATTTCTAAGTTTGCTTATTGTTATATCGTAATTAGTCTCCAGGGTGGTATCCAATTCGGTTTCTAAAACAAATCGTTAACTGCTGTTTTTTTTTGGGGGGGAACGAATAGGGCGTTTTGGTTTAAAAATTCCAAACGATAAACCGTCGCAAACGCAATACCGTTTAGCGCGAAGTTCGGTTAAACGCTTTTCCACTAAATCCAAATTGAATTATATTTTAAATTCTGAGCGCATTATGACGTGCGATTGTTATTGTTTTTTTTCTGTCTGTTAACAACGTTTACACCGGAAATTTTGTTTTAATCGAAAAATGACAGGAAACCTTTTTCGTTGCATTTTGAATCTAGTCGGAGCATTGAGAATGCCAGTATTTTAATTTCCATAAAATTTGAGAACAAACGCATAGAGAAAACCTACAAGTTTACGGCGATAAAAGTTTCACTATTTTCAAATTTTACCAGAAATATTGTTCCGAGTTTCAAGAGTAGTGTCTTTTCGGAAAGACAATTTAATCTATTCAGTGAGCATAAATCGTGAAAAACGCAGAAAACACGGGAAAGTTTACGGTGATAGTGGTTTCATTATTTCCGACTTTTTCTTGTAATTCAGTTAAAAATAATTTTAGAAATTTGGATTTCTCATAGAATACTTATATTAGTTTTTCCTAGACGTGGTATAATTTTCATACATTCAAGCGACTATTATACTATTTGGTTATTTAATATTTTGGAGTTTTTTTTAATTTTCATGCAAATACAATTGTTGGGCTAAACGAAAATGCATTAAAATTTAACATGAGGTTAGTTATAATAAGTTGCATTTAATAGTAAAAAAGAAAAAAGAAAAATGAGTAGAATGTAGTAATTTTCATATTTACTCATTTAAAGTTCAAATGGCGTTTCAAAATATTATGTTTATTGTTTATCCGAACTTAGATCAGAATCGTATTTCGTCAGCAATGATTTCATTGTTGCAAGATAAATATAAATTAAACAACTCTACGTAGCCTTTTCGACTTTCCTCCTACGACCGCAGGCACATCCATCAGCAGTATTTATTACTATTAATTTTCCTGGGATGATACGTTAAGGAAGTCATTTTTTGGATTTTACCAGGAGTTTTTCCAAAAAATGGGAAAAAGTACGAAATACAGAGGTATTAGTAAAAATATATTACGGTCCTTTTATTTTTCTTTGAACAACTTTTTTACTATATCTATATATGTGCCATATTTATTGTTGACAAAGGAACACTGCTAACAAAATTCTACTCAAAATCGTTTTTCATTAGCAATGGTTAATCGTTATGTACAGAAATACATTCAATTTCTCCTCTATCTTCCCAGCTTCTCACTGAAAAGAGTGGCCCACCCACGTCAGAAACATGTCCGTCTTTTTTTGATTATTAATTTTTAACAAGAAAATACGATTTTTCGTGTCTTTTTTAAGGATTTTGTTAAAATTTAAAATTCAAATGCTCGTAAAAAAAATCAAAAAAATCGTGACGCTTCGCTCGATTTTATTTTTGCCAGACGATGGCCGATTTATAACGCATAAACACGCAAAAAATTTCGTTCGCGCACATGGTTAAATACCATTTTTCGCTTCGAGTTTAAAAGAAAAATATTAGATATATGTGTATACATACATACAATTTCGTAACGATACACGCCCTTTCTGACCTCAATTCAAATGTCAAAAGTCCGGATCATCGAGCCCCGCCGACGACAACGACAATAATAATAATCGTATCGTTCTTTTGTCCGCGGCGAAATGCCAAATGTTATTTTATGTCTGGGTGCAATAATATCATAATACTTATAAAAAAAAAAAAAAACAAAAACGACTCGCGGTCTAGTCATTAATCACATGGTTAATCGCTTAGCGGGCCTATACAACGAAGAAAAAAAAAAACGCCGGCTGATTATTATTATTATTTTTTTTTAAATTTGCGTTTTACGCCGTGATAAATGTTCTAGAACGACGACGGACGCACAATTGTTTTGTTTAAAACTTCGGATCGCGTAACCTAACCGCGCATCTTAAACAAAACGTTCACTGCGATATTAAAACGACGTTTATAAACGGTATTCAAAGTCGGTATAATTGCGTTTTCGTAATTTGAAACGTATTTCGCGCGTTCCGAAATGGATTTATATATACATATATACATTAACATATATACAGGTATAAGTTTTTATTTTATTTTTTTATAACAATGCGCCCGTATCACGTTTTGTTAATACGCGTACGTTTCGGTTTATAAGAATAACAAGAAAAAAAAAACACATACTTGTAATTGTTGCAAGACTTCGTGTTTGTGAGTTTCGACATACGATCCTATAGCGCTAATGTCGTCGTCGTCATCGTCGTCGTCGTATACTGAATATTCGTCAAATAGGTTCGGGTCGGTGCTGCGTTGACAACGGCGACAAAGATTTCCTTGTCTATTACGGAGAAAAAAAAAACAAATAATTATTAAACGTTAAAACAGAATACGATTTAGTGGCGTATTTAAAGGCAAGATTATGGGGAGCGGATTTATCACTCCCTTATTGACACTTTTTTTTTTTTTTTTTTAATGTCTATTTTAGTATTTGCACGACTACACGGTTTAAAATTAAATTTCTTTACTTTTTAGTCGGAAAAGTCAATAAACGTGTTAGCGCTTATATCGACGAAAAATCCGAACGTGTACGTAATTTTACTGTTTCAATTTCTATCCGAACCACTAAATTTTGAGAGATTAAGTAAGATTATAAACTAAATAGTACTCGTAAATATTAATAACTATAATATATGATTATTAGATTGAGTTATAAATGACTTACCAAACTAAACGAATATTAAAGATTGATCTTTTATTTTTAGCCTAGGTATACGTAATACAATATGACACGATTTCCAAATTTAATATTCCCTCCCTTCTTGGAAAAATCTTTAAATACGCCACTGGTTTGAATATTAAAACAGTGATATTATAATAACAAAATCTTCAAACGAGCAGATAGTATAAAAAAACCAGATAGTACGTTTTACCTAATTATTATCGTAATATGAAATTTCTTAAAAAGAAGCTTATACGAAAACGCTTAAAAACTTCCCCCCCAAATAAAAGTTAAAAATATTTTATTAAATCATTTAAAAATAAAATACCATAAAATGCATTCAAAAAGAAATCTCGAGTTCATAAAAGGACACTTGATTGAATTCTAGGGGAGGGAGCCATTTTAGTGAAGAGCAAAAAAAATTACCATCATTATGTATTATACCCATTCGTTGTCACACAGAAAAACGTAATCGTAATAAGCCATTAAAGCTATTCTAACTTCAGGGTCAATATCATTTTTAGAAGGAGGGGCTCAGAATAATAATTTTAGGAGGACTAAGTCGCTCTTCCTTAGCCCCCCTTCCCAAATCTTCACTTATATCCGAAGTATAAGTTTCTATAGACCGAGTTCATTGTTACGTAATACGAACCCTGTTCCTGGATATTAAAAATCGATCCAGTAGTTTTTGAGTCTGTTCATTTCAGATACCAACACCAACGTCCATTGTTTTATATGTATAGGAAAACTGAAGGTTAATCGTCTGATATATTAAAATAAAAATTGTTTAGATGAAACATAATTTTAATGTATATATATATAACTTTCGTTATTTGATCTAATTTTAAATTTATTAATAGTTTTCTCAGGTCACATTATGTATATATATATCAGACGTTACCTTATTGTGCAAGTGTGACACACAGAATGATTTTTATTGTTTGTAAAAATCTAATTTTTGTACAAATGTTTGATTTCACAAAATCTTTAAATTCAAACGGGTTTTTTTTCTAATCTTACAGTTAAATTGTCCGTTCATTAAAGTTAATGTATCGTATTTTAAATCAACGTATAGCTTATAATTTTAAAAGCATTTCAAAATTAAATGTCAAAAAAACGAAACTTTTTTAAGAAAAAAAGAACAATTTTATAGTAATAATACTCGCTTCCGTTGAATAATAGAAAATAATTATGATTCAAAAAAATACTGTAGGTTTAAGCTTGAATATTTTATAAAAATTAAAAATAAGAGTTACCATTTTATCGTTACAAATTAAAATGTAAACATTTCGGTTGAATTATTTAAGAATTCCGTATGTTTATAATGTTAAAAAAAAAAAAAAAAAAAAAAAAATAAAAAAAAATTGAGAATAGACGCCCCCGTGTTAATATTGTTAGTTATTCGTAAAATTTGTTAGCTCACCGAATTTCCTCCAAGTAAACAATCTGATCCTGGAGGGTTTTCAGCTCTTCGTCTTTTTGTTGCATTACACTCACTTTTTCTTCTAAATTCGTGTTCTCCTGTTACATTTATTACAAAACGAAAACAATTTTAATAGTTATATATTTGACATTTACACGCCGCGCAACAATTTAACTCGTTAATCATTATTTAGGTATAGACGGGCCACATTAACTAATATCGCTTTAAAACGTTCACGATTATTACGGTCGTTTTTTTACCTGTATGAGTAAGGACACGTTTTGTTCTAGTTCAGACACTTTTCTCTGTTCCTTTGCTCTTTGGGTTTTCGCGTGCTCCAGTTGCGAAACGAGTTTAGCATATTCGTCTTGGTCTTCGGTTGCGCATCCACTGACATTGTTCTCGCTGACTACGCTGTCGTCTTTTTTCAAATGGCCTATATCGTCGACTAGGTGCTGCAAATCTTCACAGCGATTTTCCAGACTCTCGATCGTCTCGTACAGACTGGACGACATAAAATTTACATTTTGCAATCATAATTTGTTTTTATAACCCGACTAATTAAAAAAAAAATATACGTGCATATATATTATTTGAAAAAAAAAAAAAAAACGAAACACGACTGTACCTTTTTATGTGTTTTTTGTCGTTGATGTTTTCTTGCACGAGCCTTTGGTTGTTCCGCTCCAGGTCCTGAATGCTGATTTCCAGTTGTTCGTAAATTCGCAACCGGGAATCGTTCACTTCCCTCAGGGCGGTCGTCTGTTTGGTAAGGTACTGCCAACATATCAAACAGTCGGTTACGACCAGTTCGTACAGATTAAAGCCGATGGCTTGCTCGTTGGCCTTTTGGAAAATCGGCCATTCGGTCAGATTTCCAATCGAGCTCATTTTGCCGTGAGGCGTAAAGGCGCAATAGGGGGGGGGGAAAGTTGCCCGCGTATAAAATTATTGTTATCGGGTTCGAATCCGACGAAAATATCGCCGTGTGGCACGCGCGAGACGAACAAGACTGACGGAAAATATGTCTGGCGACCTCACGCCGAAAGGTCTCTGGCTGAGCGTCCGCCACGGCGTTTGGAACACTGCCAGGGATATAAAAATAATGCCTACGGCACGCATCTTTCAAAACCACATGAGAAATGACTGTTTCGTATATCAACCGGAAGGTATGACCGTATTTTATTTATTTATTTTTTTTTTTTTAATTCGCGTTACGTCATAATATAATAACGTACAAGTGAAAAAAAAACCGTTTATTCGTTCGGAAAACGTTAACGAAACACAATGTTTTTCAGGTTTTGCGTTCAGTATTTGCATTTATCATAGCGTTTTGTTATTGGTGTATTAATCGTGACATTAAAAGGGCGTGCTACCCCGCCCGTGTTTCGCGACCGTACGTAAAACTGTTTTACGCGGACAAAAACTACTCGGGCTGGTCCGAGACTTGAACGAGAAATTGAATTTTCACCGCAAAAAAACCGAGAACTCGCGTTGCGTGCAACGTTGGTTTTATTTTTTCGACATTACAAATGCCAAAACAAATAAATATTATTGTTTAACAATCCGACGGTTTTTAAATTTTTCGAACTCGAATAATTCGTTTCATAACATCGATGTTAAATAACTGAAACCAACGTTGTGCGTTCTCTTTGTCTTATGGCAGTGAACATTTGGTTTCTTAACAAAGTCCACCGTCTAAGTATAGTTTTTGGCCGCACGAAACACCACGGTTTTTCGAAATAATAAAAAAAAAAAAAAACATTTTTGTAAGGCAATTTTACGATACACCGTATTCGCATGATAAAGACACGGGATTACTCGTAAACGTATTTGAACGTTTCGAAGGTAATAAAATTTCATTTTTTCCCCCCACAATTTTCGTGAAAATTACCTATACGCAATCCCTTTAAAAACGAAAAATATACCAGTAGATCATAAAGATCTCAGAATTTTACATACAAAAAACCTACCTAACATTTTACTTTATTCCATAAAATACGTTTTTGACATTTTAAAAACGATAGTTATAAACAGTCAACAACATAATATGAAAAGTCAATAGTAGTATCAGTGAAGTATATAGTATATACTATACTCTACTGTAAAATACTGTATACTATTGTATATTAGTGAATAGTAGAATCGCATAATACATATTTCTTTATTTTTCCAAAAATAAGACATAATATTATGCGATACTAGGCCGCTGTATTATATATTAGTATTTGTATTAGGTGTTTTCTCAATGTTAATTTGTGTTGTTTAATATTTTGCGTAATATTACTGTCAAGTCTGAAAGAAGATTTTTTGACCTTCGAGTGTTCAACATTAGTATTAGACGCCTGTACCTTAAATATGATTTGTAGACAATTATTATGCTCACGTTATAAGCAGTTTAGTGATAGTTTACGATTATACGTTCCGATTAGTAGACGGTTACTGAATCGTCAAAACACAAAATTATAAATTGTGATCGATAAAAAAAAATTACAATTGAAAAACTGAATCCTAATTATTTTTTTTTTCCCCCGGTCGTATTTTTCATACTAGTATATACTAATGAAGACAAGATCAAGACTTCATGAAGATGGACGTTATAGAATCTCATGATGATGTTGATAACAATATCATCATGGTCACGATGAAACCTATGTTATCTATAACTATATTAATTTTGATTATTTGGAACGATCATTTGTGAGCGAAGTCTATAATAGTTATAGTACGGTATTTATGATTTCCACGTGAACAACTGTATGAATCAAGAAATATTTCACAATACACTCGATTTCCCAAAAGTTTCACCAGAAATTCACCAACAAAATGTTGACGAAAAATCGACGAGATATGAATAGTATTTTCCATTATAACTAAAACTTTCATAACTCTTAAAACAGGTAAGGTAAAATAATATTAAAACGATGATACGCGTGTTGCACATTTGATTAAATTAAAAATTATTATTGTTCATCTGTTCACACGCGTTAATCCTTGTCCATCAACTAGTAACAGGACATCAATAAACCCTCTTACCAATATTCGAAATGGACGGTTACAAAATTCACTAAACTATTTAAATATGATTAGTAAAACAGTTTACTCACGGTTACAACGCCAAAACACGCCTATTGTTATTATATATTTGTCCAAAAAACATTGACAAATAACATTTAAAGAACAATTTAACCGTTTAAAATAAAATCTAATCGATCTTCATTATATAAGTAATGTACACATACATCGTCAATGTTTCCCAACTATTATTATTCCACGTGCTTCGTAAAGATTTTTAAAGTCTAACGCCCTTTTTTATTGGCTAAAATATAAACTATTTAAAAAAACTGACAAACAAATATCGATACATCGGTTTTATTTTTTTCAATTTTTGGATTATTACAAAACATGACAAATATTAGTCCATTTAGAATCGTGTTTTGATCGCAATGATTTATTGTTGTTTTTAGTAATTATAAATTATACCCAACGTCCTTTAGTGACTAATACCTTCCCACCCGCTACAACGGCAGCTTACCCACTGTGCGAAGTACGTCCACGGTTTTTTTACTTTTTACACCGGACAAAGGTTTCTTTATCTTTGCTATGTAAATAAATATCGTTTACTGTTATTATCCAGTGCAATAATGGGTGAAAATTGAAATGTATGGTTTTTTTTTTTTTTTACAAGTGTTAAAGTGACACAATAATGTGAAAATTGGTTATATTTTTTAAACATCTTACGCCCTCTTTCCAGCCGAGAAATCGATAAACTCCAGGTTGGGAAGCACTGGTATCTTATATAGATAGCAGATTGATCGATATACATTATTTTTGTTTTGTTTTTCGTTTTATTTTCAACCATAATAAAGCACTCGGAACACAACAAGTTTATAATGTCAACAGTCGACGTTAAAATGCGTAATATACGAGTATATAATTAATAAATATTAAACATTGTGCAGTGTCGAGAACGAAATACGCCGTACAATGCGTATTGCAGTATGACGAGTACATTTCGAATCTATTTTTATTATTATCCAGAAACGAATGTGATGTATTTCGCTGTACACGCTGTACTACGATGGTTATAATATTTGAACTTCAACAGTTCAAACAAAACACATTCTCTGCTTGTCAAGTGTGTGCGCAGTGAATACAAAATAGGCACCGTGTATAACGTATGGAATTTTTTTTTTTAGGTTAATGTAAATGAAAACACGTGTTATGAACTATGAAGCAATTACGACCTGTTCGGGTATACCTGTTAGTTACTACATACGAAGTTCAAGCATGGACATGGTGTTTTTTTTAAATTTAAGGAGTTCGGATCGGCGCAGTTTTCGACTCGAAAACATATTTTACGGGGAAAAAACTCTCGAGTTTCGTATAGAATGGTCCAATTTCGATGATTATTTTTCCGTTGGAAATAGAAAAATTTCCTACAAACCATGTCGGTATTTTTTTTTTTTCGAAATTTTCATCTCAAACATAATATTTATACAATACATTTGTATGTTTTTTTTTTTTAAACCGTTATTTGAAATCCAATGAAAAATCGGAGTTAAATAAGGCTTGTAAAACATTATTGTTTATCAATTGAATAAAAAAAAAAAAAAAAATGTTAAAGTATAACATGTTATAATAATGCGTTATTCCTATCATTTTCGTCCTTACCTCTCCCTTTCCCTAAACGGGCACCGGACAATAGTGGGAAGTCATTATTTTTAAACCGATCAGGTATTAAAAATAATTTTCAATGTTCAAAAAATCGGAGAAATGCGGAAAACTCGTACCGCGGGCCCCTTTTAAACGTATTATATTATTTATATAGACTCTGTATATCTCACCTCGATCTCTTGGTTACGGTCTTCCACGACATTTTGTTGCTGTCGCAAATTGATTTCTAGTTCTTTATTTCTCTCCAACAGAGTTTTGCCCAGTTCCGCGGCTAGTTGTAAGTCTGTCAAAAAAAAACAAAAAAACGGATTACTAAGTGATAACGATATATACGAACGAGAGCAGATATCTCTACAGGAAAACGGCGTATTTAACGCACCCCGTTGTCGGTTATGACAATACACGTTGTACACCGATTGAGCCTCAATACCTGAACGGGGAAAAAATGATATACTGATTGAGTACCGGGGATTATTATGAGCAGGTAAAACATAAAATCTGTATAATATGTACGAATACGCAGACGGCTACGTGCTATCGTTCGTATCGTCTTTATTATAGATTCTTTTTTAGTATTTTTTTAATAGACGGATACAAATAATAATACAAAGAAAACAACACGATTTGAACAGGTATATACAATGTTTATCACATACGTTTTTACCAATATGAACAATATAATAGTTAATCACCTATATTCATTTAACTGTACACAAATAACATTTAAATTATTCACATTATAATACATTTTTCACCAATATAAAGAATGTAATTTTGATTTTATTTTTTTTTTTTTAAAAAAAGTTTGACGGGACTCAGTATCAATATTAGAATACGGACTCAATTAGTGTTATAGCTCAAATTTCAAGGGATTCAATTAGTACCTATGTAGGTATCTAAGTACTGCCCGGCGCTCGATTAGTCCTAAAAGATTTTATTGGTACTCGGTTCGTAGGCGACCCGACAATATCGGTAACATCCGCACGTTTTGTCGATTGTCTAAAAACACGCGAACAACGCGAATAATATTATTACACACTCTGGCGTACATATAATATATACAACGGCGATTTCACTGTTGAATTCGAGATTCCCGACTGGGAAATCGAAAAATCGTACGTTAATCACGTCGCGTCTATATAGGCACCTATCTTCTTATATTTTACACTCGTGCATACAACAGTATATAGTCGTGTCGCGGCACTTTATCGACTTGAATGATTTGTCAATAAAAAAAAAAAAAAAAAGATTTTTATTATTATAATTTCGTTGATCAATCGTGATCGTCGGCTTGCGGTTCGACGTCCATATCGTAATATCCCCGCGAACAATGCGAACGACGATCGCATCGTCGCAAGTCAAATATCACACACACATGCGCGCTCGATGTTTCGAAAGCGTCGCGGATTCCGTAAAAGGAACGGCCGGGAAGGTTCTTCGGCCCGACTTCGTGATCGCGCGGAGAAAATGTATTATGCATTTTTTTTTCTATGATTTTCCCTACGATTCAGTTTTTATTGAAAGCCTATACGCACACACTCAATTGGGTTAACATCTCGCAGAGGTTAACCTCGATAGTGATAATAGTGTTATGCATCTATATGGGTATTTTATATATAGTTGAGCATACACATACACACACACACACACACACACACACCGCACACCGATAGGTTGCGGTAAAACTTAATAACTAACTATACATATACATATTATGATATTTTATAATAACGTTACGTAAAATATTCGGTATTTTTTTTTTTCAGAAAAAATATTCGCGGCTTTTGCCCCGTTAACCGTCGTCCGGAGTCCGGGACCGCCGTCGAAAAATTCCGCACACGGTCGAATATTACGCGGTACGCGCGCATTTCCAAACGGATTTCAACGCCCAGGCACGGCCGAATCAAACGATTTAAAAGCGGTTACTTTTACAGCCGATGCGTCGCCGTACAGATTTAATAATACGAAACGTCGTTTTTCTGCGCGCCTGTCGTTACAAACGTACATGATGGTTTTCGATATTGAAAGTTATAATATAACAACATAATATTATGTAGACTGGTACTAAAGTGTACCTGTAAAGAAACACCGCGTGGAGATATAATAACCACCTGTCCGCACACGCGCAAGCACGATGTCATTATATAATATTGCCGATAGATAATAGTAATAATTAATAATTATAGTTCGGTCGAAAGTCGTGTAGATGTCGGACGTCGCGTATCGGCCGCGCGCCGGTATTCGTAACAATAATAACGTCGTTACAACGACCGCCCGCGCGCTATCGCTATGCCATTACATTATTGGACATAGGTTTCGTCAAGTCGATTCTTTTTTTTGTTTTTTTTTGTTTCTCCTCTATGCTTTTCCAATTCGAATGGGTACCCACCCATACGCACGCAGTATTTACGAGTATCTAATTAGCCGTCGTACGCCTCCCCCCATCGCGCATTAATATCAATTTCGATATCGGCCGTACGACGACGGTACGCGCGCATCGTTCGCCGCAACATCGTAATTATAATATTTCCTCGCAATAATTATCATACCACGGTTCATGCAGTTCGACGTGTATTCAAACGCGATACTGTTTTTTTCGAAAACGACTTTGGCGAAATGCAAATTTTGCAAGAAAAAAAAAAAAAAAAAAGTCCGTATTGCTCGCGCACTCAACGGCCGGCCGCTGTAGTTAGGCGGCTAACTGAAAACGGAACAGAACACGTTTTCGGGCCGTTTTGATACTGAAAATAAGTAATTTTTCTCACGACATCGGTCTTCTCAAATCTCACAATAATTTGATTATCAGAGATACGCTCTTTTACCACCAGAAAAAGCATAGAAAATTGTACACGATTGGCCATAATTCAGTGGCTATTTTTTCCGCAGTGCGCATTTTTGCATTGGCGTGCCGATGGGGATACGATAATGACAGTCACCTCCACTCCCGGCCCCGTGGTCCGTATAATATAGCTTGACTCAAAAGTGCACAATTTTATTTTCCGTAGTGCTCATTTGTAATTTCGTAATGCACAAACTGTGTCGTAGTGCACACGAAATTAGCCACTGAGCCGCATAACTCATTTTCACTAAAAAGTGACGTTGGACCTTTTTGACCCAAGTCCCAGATTTACAATATTCATTAGATTTTTACTGGAAAATTACGATTACCTTTTCGATTTTAACGTACACACGTTATGTTATTCACTATATACCTACGGAATTTACAAGTTATTATCTATATAGTGTGATTCACACGTATACTGCTGTACATTTTTCTACGAACGGAACCTTTGGGTTAAAAATACATATCATTAAAAATTGATTAAACGTCTCAATCAAATTATAGGTAATCAACAAGACCGCGTAAACTTTCTAAAAAAAAAAAAAAACTGTAATTTTTATTAACTGAAACTAATAATTATATAATATATAACATACCTATATAAGGTACTATACATTAGTTATTATACGCTAGTATTAATTATTTGTTATTTATTACGTTCAAATTTTAATCAGACGTATCGTACAATTTTATCGGGGAAGCGGGATCGTCGTTCGTCCCGTATTTCAACGGACAGTCCCTTTTGACGGCCAATTTTTCCCACGTCCCGTTTTGATAACGAGTGTCCGCAACGTGTCCCGGATTTCTTAAAATAATACACGAGTATCAAGGCGTTTAGAATCTTCAGGTCTACAACGCATGTACAGTTATCTGTTTTAATTGTTCATTTTTTTTTTTTTTTACTACTATTATGGTTTTTTCTTACACTCGATTTTGTACACCGAAAATATTACCATACGAGTGAAAACCTAGTTTTTGTTTTATTGTTTTAACTCTTTTTTCAAACAACTGTTATGTTTTTCCTACGCATAATTTGTTCGTATCATAAGTATTACCATACAAGATAAAATTATTATAAGCAAGAGCGTTATTATTTAATTTATAAATAATCCGATTTTGTAAAATAAACATGTTTTTGACGTTGAAAGACGCAGGTAACTTTTCGGGGAGTCTAAGTTTTCGATTGATTGAAGAATCGAACGAAATTAAAATACATAATACAAAATAATTAGTACAGTATTGGTATAAAATTATTACATGAACTAACGGTTATAACTAGAGCCTGGATTTATATTTTCTTAATAAAATCCACAAAAAATACTCGAAAAACTCAAAAAAGCCTTGGAAAAAAATTTAAAAAGCAAAAAAAAATAAAAAATAAAAAAGTTTAAAAGTCCCCTTTTTAACGGATAACTTAACTTATAAATAACATTTCCTAACACCACAAAAAATGATAAATAAAAATTAATTATTTTGCGTGAATCATTTTTGTAATGTTAGGAAATTGAATTTAATAAGTTAAAGCAATTAATTATTTACAGGGAGGGGGTCTTTTGAACTCCTCTATCATTTTTATTTTTTCTAAATATTATAAATATAGTGCTTTTTTCAGGAAATTGTTTGACGTTTCAAAGCGGTTTTTTGTGGATTATAAGAGAATATAAATCCGGCGTCTAGTCATAACTGTACAATTTATAATAATGTTAACATTTTATTATACACGACTCTTTTGTGCACACATATTTCAACAGTTTCCGTTTTAAATCCAATAATAATATAATATATTATAATATACCTTGTGGACCGCGAAGACATTCCAATTCGATTGTATAATCCCAGCAGTCCAGAGAAGCTAAATCCGACGTAGGAGCAATACTGCTATTATTGTCCATTTTTTTTTTTTTTTTTGATTTTAAAACATACTTTTTAGTTTTAATTTTTTTTTTAAATAGGCTGCAGTAGTTATGGCAGGCGCTTCTTTATCCCGAATAACGCGCAATCGTCGACTCGTGTGTATAGAATATTAAACAACGATACGTTTTTTAGCCTGAGAAATACGATACATAATAATATTATAAATAAACGGTAAAAAAAAAATCTTTATTTTTCGTATTCAATATGTTTCGCCTATTATTATTGCGCTATACTAGGCGGTTTATTATTATTTTTTGGTCATAAACAGTGCAAAAGTCGCAAAACGAATAACTATAACGTGTTATGGCAGTGTAAAGTTATCGACGGTGATATTTGAAATCATTATTATACACCGATGGGGTCCGCAACATAGTAACCGCGTACTACTCGTCGACGTTATTACGAGAGTAATTCCACGAGTGTTTGACCCGATATTTTAGTCAAACGACCGGTCATAATAATTCATACGTCTAGACAAAAATAACTAAGAAATACGGACATATTTAACTATTTAAGTCGCGAGAGTTATTACATACATTTTTTTTTTCAGTCACGAATAGATACGACCCGTCGTAAAACATACGCAAATTCGAACGAAACACCTCCTAATATTATATACAGACGGTTTTGATTTTCGAAACGCCTAGTGTATAATTTTTTAACTAACCGACACAATGGTTTTTTTTTTCTACACAGAGGCGTGATGAATATAATTTTAAACGTATAACTCCGGTTTACAGTCGACGATAGTGTACCCATATTCAATATTATTACAATATAGTGCAGTACCGCAATGAGAATTTTTTTACATAAATTTACACTAAATTATTATCGGTTTTTTTTTTCTACTTTTAAATCGAAACGCAATTGGTTTAAAATACAATACATACATATATATATATATTTTTATTATTTTTATACTCGCGTGTAGCTACTATAATATATAAGTAGGTGCACTCAATGTATAGGTATCATTAGGCGCTATGCAATTAATAAAAGTATACGTCATTTAAATACCTTGAAATTCAAACGAAGTCGACACGACAAAATATTATAAAATTTGTTTTTTGTTTAGTAATTTTCGTATAGAGTTAAAAGTATAATCTAGACTCGTAAAAACCACGCGAAATTGTTGTTTACCCGTTTTGTAGCGTAAATAAACAGTAGGTACAGTATCTGTTAACCTATACCTACCTGCCTATATTGTGTACAGATAATCAACAGTTTGCGACTATAACTTTGCTGGGGTAATGTTAATGTTAATAAAATATTAAAGGGACGGGCAAAGTGACATTATGATCCGCTAAGAAAATTAAATTATTTTATAAAACTGATCAAATTGTCTCTGCCGGATCAAAATGTCGTCCCCGAGGATATCCGTATGACGTGCTGTACTCGTCTTACCAACAGCGAAATTACGTTACTTTGAACATAAATTGTGGCGTTTGTGGTGAAATTAGAGTTTAAACAAGAATAACAAAATTTAAAGAGGAAAATATTTCCGAGGACTGTACGTAGTTTGAAAAAAAAAAAACATAACTACTATGACTATAGCTTTTCGGCCATTTTGTAGTGAAATATTAGAAAAAGCCCTAGGAAATAATCTCTTCTTTAAATTACTTGTCTATTTTATTTTTGTTTGTACTTTCAACGCTACGATTTATGGTCTAAGTAACGTAATTTTGCTATCGCCCGTTGGTTAGAATGAGACATTAAAGGGGGGTATGTAAGCGTATTTTCAAGAGGGCATAATACCAGCTGCACCATGTCTCCACCTTACCAACGTACGACATAGCAAATTTCGGTTCAGCTGCAGAGATAACATTGCGCTGTAGGTTTTAACGTTAGAACGAATTGACCTATTAACGAACTTAAAGATAAGAACACATTAAATGTGCTGGATTTGTGTTACATTTATTCGATATTTTTTTTTTTGTAGAGAGATATGAGTATGTGAAATATCACAATTTAATAATGCTTACATCTCGCTTGAACGTTAATATATCGAACAATAGCGCCAACGTTGCACAGACAATGTTCTTATCTTCAAGTTTGATAATAGGTCAATTTATTGTAATATTAAAACTAACAGCGCAAAGTTGTGCCTGCCGAACGAACATTCGCTATTCGGTCAGACCGAGACAGTGAATGCGGGTATCATATCACTTCGTCTTGTAATCAATAATTTGAATTGGAAAATATGTTTTACGACATGTTTTATATCATTGTGTGTTATAAACTAATGCAAATGACGCGAATTTAAAAATATATTTTGGTTGTTATAGAACTTTTACTATCATATGTGATTGATTTATACTCGTAATACGGACAAATACGAAAAATATGATAAAATACTATGTACAGAGCGAGTTTCGTTTGAAGAATATTACAGAGTGCTCGAAGAGTTATTGAGTTTATAGTAGATATTATTATTATTATTTATACTATTATTGAAATATTTGTTTCTTCAGAGATCACATTTGCTAATTGCGTATACGTATTCGTTTAGAGATTGTGAATACATGTATATTTTTTTTTAATATAAAAAAACTACCAGAAGTACCGCATTATGACGTATTATCGTCGCAGTTTTCGGACAAATAAAATCAAATAATGCGTTAATGTTATTAATTTTTAATTCTGTACAAGTTTCATTTCACATCTCAATTCTCAACGCAGAATATTTGCCGATTACCACAGTCACTTTTTTTTTTTTATAATATACACGAGGATTCAAAGTCAAGTAGGCGTTCGGATGAAAATAAAAACCGATAATTTTGTCACTCGACTATTTATTATAATCGACAAACGCTTAATAATAATAACAAATCGTTTATCGGGTGCGATTGTATAATTATTTATTTACTAATAAACGTGGACGATATTTCGAAATGTCAATAACAATAATCGTTTTCAGCGGAAAATATTGTGTTTTTCTTTTGAATCAATACGCTCGCAACGACGCGCCGTTTTGTTCGGTTAAATATTCCGAAGAAAACAACGATTCCGATGTTTTTTATTTGTGTTAAAAGTCATTGTACAAGAAATACGATTCGACGAATTTCAAGAATCATTTCGCGTACTAACGATATTATTGTACGTTTAATGGCTTTTGAGAGAGGACGTAAAAGCCGTATGCGCCGTCTCCGTGTCTGACAAACGTCATAGCAAATTCGGGTTCGCCAAGGACAACTTTGTGGCTTTTAATATTAGAGCGAATTGGCCTATTATCGAACTTAAAGGCCAGAACATTGTCTGTGGGACCACGGCGGATTTTTAAGCGAGATAATACGAGAGGTTTTTTTTTTAACATTGAGATAATTCATACGTTTCGTATTATCCCGCTTAAAAATTTAAACATCGAAAAAAATCCTCCGAGATCGCATAGATAATTTTCTGATACGTCAATTCACTCTAATATCGAAACGAAATTGTCTCTACCGACTAAACGCAAATTTGCAAATGTCACGAGTCGTACGTAAGACGGACCACAGCGCATGCGCAAATCACGTCCTCTTTAGAATTCATAGACGGTACTCAGCAGCATAGATATGTGCGTGGACGGGACATCCCTATACCTATTTTGCCCTCCTAAGCCAAAAGACAGTAAGCAACAAAATTTGAAAAATGAGTTTATTACATCAAAATATTCGCATTTTTCGGTTCTCTTGCAAAAATACCGTAAATGCAACAAATTTCTTTAGAAATGTAAATTAAAATAAACTTATTTTTAAAATATACAAATAATACCAAGCAAAAAATCAGTATAAAACATAGACACGGTAAGTCCCGTCCGCGATGTATATAATATTATCTATGCTCAGCAGTTAACCTTCACGAAATACGAAAATTTCGAATTCAAACCTACGGACTGAAAAAAAAATCCTAACGAAAATCGTTCGAACACTATTCTCGACGAAAAAAAAAAGAAAAAAGAAATAGATACGAGAGGGTTTAAAACACAGTTTCTTTAATACCGACACTACAATGTATTATTATTATTATACTTGGGTATATCGCCGCAAATTGTTGATTACCCACAGCCGAGCATTTTTTTTTTTTTTACTAATAGAAACTCGGTCACGATAAAAATATTACACAGCTACAAGCGGACAACTATGTGGCGCTCGTTTGAAATATTAATTTAAGAAAATATGTAATAATGATTAGCCGTTGTCACATTGTCGACGCGGCTGTGAACAGTACAGACGGTTTGATTATTGCGTAGCCGTCCGTCAGGCCGACGTATTATATGTACGTATTCGTATAATACACAGGTATACAGGGTGATTTTTTTTTTCCGAGAAAAGTACATGAAAGTACATGCGATTCTCAGACCAGATCAGACTTTTTTGACACACGCGCACGATACTGACGTATTAGGTAGCCCTCGAGAGGACGCGGAATTTAGAAACTACAGATTTACTAAAAACAGCCAGAACGATGGGTTTAAGAGTTGACCAAGGAAAAATGGGGGAACAGGATAATGTTAAATCTTGCTGAAGTCTCACAAGGCACCAGATTAGAAGACAGTGAGGATTAGTGGCGCACACAGAAGGGAGTTAGGTGATCACCCCCCCCCCCATCAATTTCATTAAAAATCATTTATTCAGTAATAATAGTGATAGTATTGCTATCCCCTCGCTAGGAAATTATTATAAACAAAATCCCTCCCAAACAAATTCCCGTGTGCGCTATACTACAGGTGAGGATAGAATTAGACGGAGACGAGTGGTTGAGGCAGCAAAGGTCCTGCAGCGGACTGTAAAAGCGGGAGGGGGGGAAACATGCGATTCTCAAATTTAACATTACCCTTCGTTTCCGTTCGTTCGGTCGATTTTACATTACTCACCGGAAGTGGAGGGGGTTGTTGATCAACAGGGACCTCCCTATACATATATACGCGTAACACCGAACGGTATATTGCATTGTGGGTATTTGAATTATTCCTCAGAAAAAAAAAAATTACGATTAAAGTCAATAGAATTTCCGGTAACTAACGAGTGAGTTTTGCGATAAAAACAATTTGTCACTCTGCACACACATATTTTTCATTATTGCAATCCGAATATTATATTTTATCGGGTATACGAACAAATAAACCTTCGTTCTGTACACTCGGAAATAACAATGATAACAATTATAAATTCACGGCCGATAGCTTAAAAAAATAAAATAAATATATCCAAAATATAAAACCGACGTCAAACAACACTGTAGCAACGTCACCGTCGATAACACTGCGAAAAACCTTTGGAACACGTTAGAATTATTGTGCGCGCAATACGAAAAAAAAATTAATAATAACTAGGGCTCGAATTTTATCCGATCGATTGCTAATTATCAACAGTTTTTTTGCTAATACGCAACAAAACGATTTATTTCATATATGTAATAAATAATGGAGAAAATCTCACATATTTTATACGCGAAGACATGAGAAAAATACCTAAAAATTTTCGTTTAATATTGTAATCTATTTTTTTTATTTTTAAGTAGCCGGCGTATCGACCCGTCGAACAGTCTAAATTTATGGCTTGTTATCCGGTTGTATTTATATGTTTGAAAAAGAATTAAAAAATTTTTTTTTTTTGAAGTCATATCAAGCGTAAAAAATATCCGAGCCCCGAATCAATAACCAATACCGGAAGATATCGGGCGCCCTATAGCATAAATTCAGTGGCGTATAGCTGGACGGTAAAGGGCCCCGGGGCAATTAAAAAAACTAGAACCTCTAACTGACTAATATATTAATTTTTGCGAAAATTCGAAACATACGTATACGTAACATTGTTTTTTTTCTTTTTTTTTTAAATTTAAATACTTACTACGGAGCCACAAATGAAAATAATAAACAGATAATTAATAAATGAACAAAGTAAAAGGAAATCCAGTTTTTGTTATCCTATACGTACACTAACTATCCGTACGGTGAGCACCGTTCACTGCTTATTAATCTATTTAAATACCGATTGTGATTGGAATTAAGATTCCCGGATTCTACGATTAAGAGAAGAACGTACGATTTAAAACGATCATTATTAAATACATCGAAATTTGCAATTGTTTCAAAGAATTGATTTCGGAATTGTCCGGGGCACCCCGACCTCTGGGATACTACCCCACTTTGCCCTGTGATGGCTACTACGCCACTGAATACATTACGATCCGCGTGCGCGGGGCGGGTACCGCGCGTGTCGTTAAGACGCGTCGGCTCGGTACCGGCCCGAAGACTTACGCGTGGTGTGTACAGCGTGAGCGTCCGTGTGGAAAACGCGGGGTGTAGTTGTAGTAGCGCGCGGAAAATAAAGCGGCTCCCTATCCCCGAAACGGCTCGCGCGGGGGTGAAGGGGCGGGAACGCGAGCACCCGTTCGACGCACACACGGGAGAACACGGACGACGGCGACGCGGCTACGCAGCGGCGGTAGCGAAAAAACCGAAAAATATACGGCGAATATTGTCGGGCAGGTAATTTTTTTTTTATTCTCGTTCTCGAATACAACTGTCAACACGGCCGTCGTTCGGCGTACGCACGAGCACGCGGTCTCGGTTGCGCGGAAAGACTGGAGCGGCAATTGTATTCTCTCGGCTGGACGTCCGACGTGACGGCGACGGCGGCACAGGAATTACCGTGTGTGAGAACGTCGCGGCGAACCGGTTACCCACACCGCGCCGCCTCCCGAGGAATCGTAGTCGTCGTCGTCGTCGTCGCGAGCTCGACCGCGGCCTCGGGAATTCGTCGATCGCATTCCGCGGCTCACGCGTCCCACACAAACTCCACTACCGTACACGATATTACTATTGTCGTGTGCATACAGGGTGTTTCTAACGACTGTACGGACGGTAAAATTCTTCCGATTCGCGGTCGGTACGAGGAGTTCGCGTGATATTGTTTCGTCGCCGTGTCTACGGAATCGTCTAGCAAATTTCTTTTTCGGACCGTTGTCGCGATATTACACACACCGTATAGAAACATTTAAGGGGGGGGGGGGTCTTTCTTCATTGACGTGATATTATCCGTGCATCTAGCGCGTAACGTAGCAGGGGCGGTTCCAAAGACTTGGTTTGGGGGAAGGTGCTACGTCACGTTTTTCAGAAAACCGTATAACAAAATGGTGTATTTTATATTTTATAGTACGTGTCTGCTGCACAGACACGCAACTAAGGGGTGGCCTGGGGTGGACCGGCCACCCGAAATATTTACAAGCCAAACCAATGGCCACGCCATCATATTATTGACATACCCAAAGCTCAAATAATTGATTAAAAAGAGTTAAATTTGTTACTATAATATATTGAAAAGAAAAAAACTTAGGTACCTATATTTTTTCATAATCTCAGAATTGAATTAAATAAAAGCATCATCGCTCAACGCAGAATTTAAAATTATATTAAAAACAATATAAACATACTTATAAATTAAATTAGTGCCTAGTGGGGGGGAGGGGAATTAAATGTTGGTGATAATTAGGCCACCATAATTGTGTAATTCTAGTTACGTGTCAATAGTACAGTATAGTTTTTTTTTTTTTTAAAAGTTGTTTTTAACAAAAGGGCTGGGGGACTAAGGCCCCCAGAGTCAGGAGCCACCCCTGTAATATCTCCGTTCCACCTTATCGACATAATGAATAACGCTTTTTTCAACTACAAATAATAAAATTCCAAATATATTTTGATGGCAATATCTACATGGTGTAGTAGAAAATAAAAATTAAATGAATATTGTACCCTGATGATAATATTTTACCATTTTTTTTGTTACCACTTTTCTGCGGATAATGTATGTAACCATCATAGAGTAACTACTATAGAGTAATTATTCTATGGTAGCCACATGGTCAAAAGTTTAGTTAAATAAATTCAACTGCGGTATCGTTTGGTTACAGTGGTATCGTGTGACAATATATCGATATACCTACCATATGGCAAAAAAATATTGGGCCATAGACAGGATAATATCAAACTAATATCAAAAATAATTTTGAAATTAAAAATAGTAAAATTCGTTGTACAATTGACAACAATTGAAATCTACATTTTAATAAAAATCATTTCGGACATTATTTTTTGCTGTCCCCCCGTTCCAGTAAAACAAATATAGTTGGGGTACGCAAAAAAATAAAAAAATAATGGGGGAGCTCCGTCCCATCCCCAATTCAAGCACTTAATATGGTACATTTTTATAAAAATGTCGATACGCATAATATATAAAACGTCATGAAATATTATTAATAATGTATCGGATATGATGGGTACCGTTATTTACGAGTTAAAACAGTTTGATAACTTAGACGGGGGGGAGCGGATACTCGTAGTTATATAAACGTGACGTCTATAGCATAATAATAATTGCAATATTATAATATGAAATTATTATTATCCTTCCACACGCCTCCGGTCTAAATTTTAAACCGGTGTATCCGATAGTGTATATTAATATATAGTGAAATGCGCATCGCAATTTTCAAAATAATATATCCACTTTTCGAACGGGAGTACGAAAATTTGTAGTTTGCAAGCAGCGAGTTTGAAAATCAAGTATACAGGCGCTATAAGTGTTATACGGTACACGGTGTTTACGGAATAAGGGTAAAATTTTGAAAATATATCGTATCGAGTCGGACGAGTTCTCGTTTTCCGTTCCATATTCATATTTATTGCGAGGCTCCAGCTAAATCCGTCTAAATGAGCACCCGATGACTGCATAGGAGCAACTAGGGGGGCGCAAGGGGGTATTTAGCATCCCCGAAAAATACCCGATGAGCTTTTTTTTTCTTCATAGTATCGACTAAATATTTCATCCGTGTATTTCATAATAATTAATAAGCATAGTAAAATACAGATCGCCTATACAAACAATGCATGTGTGTATAAAATATAAAGTTAAATAGTTACGATTCCATTTATTTATATTAAACAGTTGTACATTAAATGTACAGTTGCTTATTATAGAGGTAAAGGGGATTGCCGAGGCATTGCATTTGCCACAGACCCTTGTAGGCGTGGGTCTGTGCGACGTGTCTATAATTTTAGCATCCCCAAAGTCGGCGGTATAGTTGCGCATATGAGGCTTCCTTGCTCGATATATAAAAAAAAAAAATATACAACTTTTAGACGTAAAGAATTAGCTATTGCAATGCCGTCACTGGTCTATAGGCGCAAATGGAAGAGGGCGTTTGTTCGACTTATTGTAAAGAAAGTATACAGAGTTCACAATGGCGGTGAGTATTCCTGTATAGAATAACATATTATATTTTTTTCCCTGCAGGGGACTTTAGCGTCCCTTATTTATTTCATCGGAATCGCACACCCGCACAGTTCAATTTTCAGCCTGTATTCTTTTAACGGGCAATATAGCGAAAATGCGTTCGCGTAAACAAACTAAGAGACCCTTAAAATCGATTCTAGAGAGATAAAACACTTATTGTAAAACGTGTAGATGCCAACATTTCGAAGACGGTCCCGTCGGCGATTTACAATTTAAATCATTATCGAAGATATAACAAATGGTATGACATTTTAAGGTTTTTTTTTTTTCATTAACACTGTAACTTTTTATGTAATTAATATTATAAAAAAAACGCCGATGTTTTACGCGAACACGTTTTCGCGTCAAAAAGACAGGAACGGCAAATGCCGGCGCAAAAATAATTTACCCGTTTCTAATTAATCGCATACACACGTATTCTCGGGACATTTCGCGGGCCGTACAGTTATAAAAAACGAAAACAAACCGTTCCGTAATATTTTAACGACTCGCGGATAACATTGTATTATACTCGTATTACTGCGGCCGACTTTTCGTGATAAAAAAAAAACAATCACGCTGTACACACGACGCGCATATTATTATAATTTTGTAGGTATTATCACATCGTACCGTCGTGTACCGACGCATAGTAGTAACGCGAGAGCGCGCGCGCGTCTACAACGCGTGTGGCTGCGGGTTCATTCATCATGATCGCCGCGCGTGTATTATCCGTACGGCCCGTAGGCAACTGGATAATATATAAATCGCGTTCGAAAAAAAAAAGAAATAAATAATATTACCAAACGATTACGAAATCCGCAGCCGCCGCCGTTTTTCAAGAAAGCTGCTAAAAACAATAATAACCGTACAGGCGTACGCTCCCCGGTGCTCCCACTCACTCCCACGCGGTATCCCGAAACAGCACAACAATAGCCTGCAGCGGCATAACCACGGGGGAGGGGGTGAGAAGGCGGGTTAAGGGGGTCGATATCCCTGCCGCGGGCCGTATTTATACTAGTTCATCAAATGTTTACTACCAAGGTACGTTTCCGGTTGATATTTTCTTCCGTTCCCGACAGAACGTGTTTTCTACACCGAACCCTGCGCAGCGTACGCGTACGAAAACGTATTTAAGAAGGAGCAGTTACTCGCGGCTAACGTAAATAAAAATAAAAAAGACGGCATTTAACGAAAACCTATGTGAAATTACTGCGCGGGTCGCTCGGAATCACCCTTGGAGGATGCACCTGCGCACAGAGGGACACGTGCGTAATAATAGTTTAGTGACGAGACGTGCCACAAGACGTTGCATACGTATATACCGTAACAACGTTTTTCGTGTCGTTGAGTTTTTTTTTTTTTATTATTATTAATTTTCGTTTAGCGGTTCTGTGGCGCCCGGAAAGCTATCGTCGGCGGTACGCGAAGACGTTTTTTTTTTTTTAACGAGCGTACGCGGTCGAGAACCGTGTCGGACCGAAACGAATATCGGACGAAACGAAATTTGTCTAAATTTGTTTATTTAGCTCCCCCCCCTCCCCCCCGTCCTAAATAAACGAATTATTCGGTTCGAATAATATCCGTGGTCGAACTCGTAGTCCAAACTCCGCTCGCTGGCCGGCTGCAGTTCCGCCCGACTCGAAATCCCGACTACGCCGTACAAAACGAAAACGCCGCTCAACGAAAACGGACTCTCTGTGTGCGTGTGTGACGCGCGCGCGTACCGCGAACGCATTTGTTTCGTAACCGTAAACGCATCACTCGGAAACGCGTATGTCGCGCCGTTAACGTTTTTGGCGGATAAACGAGGCGCGAACGGCCGGCCGGCCGCCGCACGCTTTACGAGAGCCGTGCCTCGTTTTGCATACATATGGGCCACGGCCATCATTGACAGAGTAGACAGGAAAAAAAAAAAAAAATAACGTAAGAGTATAATAAATCGCGTTATTGCGTACAATTTTTTTTCCGTTCGAACGACCGATGACTGGGTGTAACGTTTTCGGGTTTTCATTTTACTTTTTCAACGCGCGTACCAGTTACGCGACGAGCACAATACGAAAACGCGTAATATTATCGGTGCACATACATACTATGACGTAGGAAAATGCGTACTGTATTACCTATTAAAAAAAAAAAATAAATACCCACGTCGCCTTGCACACTGATAAATCGCGCCCCACGGTTTCTCTGTTGAGATTTGTACGAATATTTATGTTCCGTACACACGCTCGAAAATTCGAGACGGAAAATAAAAAGCGACGCAATTCGTTTTGTTACATAGTTCAAAATAAAAAAAAGACGTTCTACCCGCGCGCGCTGTGTCCTGCGTTTTACAAACGTACGACTTAGAGAATTTTGAGTTTTAATAATTGGAGTGAACTGACCCGTTGTCAAACTTACAGTGTCTGGTGCTACGTTAGCGCTATTCGTTCGATATTTTAATTTTTTTAAAACAGATCCGAGTACGTGAAATATCATACAATTTAATATAATGCATACATCTCACTTGAAAATTGAAATTTCGAAAAAACCGAAAATGTTCTCATCCTTGGGTTTGATAATAGGCAAATCCACTTCAATATTAAAATAATCAACACTGTAAAGTTGTTCCTGTTAAAAGCATATATAATGCGGGTACACAGTTCCTCGATCAATTTTTAATTTATTTTTTAAGCGAAATTCGCTAAGAATCGTTTTTTGTTAGCGACTATTTATTGTAGCGTACATTAAATTAACCTATACCTCAAACTTTACACCTAAAACAGCGTGACACACCCGTGTTGTGAATTATTCTTCCTATATATAAATTTGTATTAATTATTTTTAGTAAGTTTTTAAATTAAATGGAATGGGGTTGAGACGTGCGGGGACTTAGATTTCCGCCAGTAGTTTGTACTAGAGGGTGAATCATTAATGGAAATCGGTATGCAAATGGTTGTCAATTTTACAGGAAATCTTGGTTATCGTTGGGAAAACCATGATAGTATTCTAGAATCTGATGTGCGCATTATGCATTAGTGATTTACTTCTGATTTTTTATGTCACTTATATGACATGTTTAAGAATTGACCAATCCGCCAGAAGCCTCAATATAACTTGAAAATTCTAGTCACGCCAAAGTTAGTTATTGTTACTTTTCTACCGAAAATCTTTCTCAAATTATCAATACATCAGAAGTGATTTTCGGAGGACAATTTAGTCTATAGTCAGTTCACTGAGGATTTTATGACTTTCCTTTAACCGGAGAAAAAATGGGAAAACAAAACTTTATTACCGCGATAATGGTTTCTGTTATTTTCGATAAAGGTTTTCTTGTCGTAATTCAGTAAAAATTATCGTACATTTTTTCCCGCCTATACGTTGGGGTCCGACATGTTTTAAGTTTCCAGTTAAATTTTTGTACATTATATACACTATATAACAAAATCGGTCAATTGAAATGCAACAAATATACATGATTACAAAAAATGATGTAGGTACATGACTTTATTTTTTTATTCGAATTTATATGACGTCAAAATTAATTTAAAACACAGTTGTCACACAAGTATTAATACCCACAATAACATACATATTTTATGATGTAATAATAATAAAAAAAAAAATGTTAAACAATGTCGGCCATTTTAGATTCAGAGTGGGGCACTCGTTATGATAATATTATAATGCCGGATTTTTTTTAATTGAAACATTTTTTTAGGCCAGTAAAAGAGAAATACTTTTTCTAAATTTCAATTTTATTTCGTACAAAGCGGCGAGAAATTTATTTAAAAAATAATAATTGGAATTTATTGGTTTCGAGACCTTATAAAATCGTGTTCAAGTGAAAAGTAATGATTGTAAGAAATTGAATATAAGCTAGTTTGCTCATTAAAAGCTCGATAAAAAAAAAAAAAATTGTTTAGATATTTATATTTTATTAGCAATTTTAGAAACTGTTGATTGTATTCGTTTATACGTATAGGTACTTTAAATACTTTGGAAAGTGGATTTTTTTTTTTAAATCATTTTGAGTATATTATTATCTGTTTCTATATACGTGCAGAGTAAATAAGTGAATCACGACAATTTTTTCAGACACTATAAGGAAACCTTTTATTATAACCAGTTCTAATATTTCGGAAATATCGCGGTTATATTCATTTATAAGTATTATATTTTAAGGTTATTACATTTTTTTTATTACGAATATTTACACGGATCAGGGTTTCAAACGAATAGATCGTAATCCTACATGAAATATTGAATTAAAATTTAAAAACATAAACTAGTATTGTTTTTCCTTAAACATATAATATCTGTATGGTATATTATAAAAATAAAAGCTAGTACGTAACAATTTATACGCGTATAAGTGAACGTATTGTTCCAATTTACAAATTAGACATTTGTGTTCTATTAAGACCGTGAGTACCATACAGGGTGTATCACCGGAATTTTACATTGTCAAATTGTCGCGGTACACGTACAGTTGATACTTATACCTATATACTATGTGTACCATGAATATTCATAATGACTCGAACAAAAATGAACTCCATGAACTTTAAAAGGGCGCAGTTAGTCAAACGAAATGCAGAATATTTAACGCCATATGTTTCCAGAGATAATTATGCTATATTATAGAAACGGGGCACAATATAGATATAGAAGAATAGGCGTGGTTGGTATATATACTGCGGTATATTTTAAGGTATTTGTTGAATAATATAAAAGCGCATATTATAGTGAAATTTCAACAATTTACACCTAGAACCTACATTATAGATACTATTGTACGTCAAACATACGCATATACTATAAATTATGGCGTTAAAGATAATATTGTAAACGGACAATTTCTACGTGAAAGATATACAATCAAGTAAAAATAATAGTATACAAGTATATAGTAGCTGAGCGAACGGCAATGCGTCAAGCCACGCACGCAAACTATGTAGTATTTCACATAAACCATTTCAAGCTTCTTTTCGACTTCTCTTTTTCTCCGAGTTTAGTTGTGTTACAAGAATACATTTTTTCAAGGGCCTTAACGGGTTACTAAAAGGAAGCATTGTTTCAAATATCATATATCTATCTGAAATAGTTTCCCAAATATGAATGTCTAAAAACCGCAATTTTTAGCAATGACTGACTATGATAGATCATTGTAAATGACGTAGAACTTACTTTAAATCGAGCTAGAGCTTTGTAGTTTTAAACATAGATAGTGTTCAAATTAAAAATTACGATAAAAATTAAAAATTAATACAAATTCAATTTTGAGGGTAGGAGAGGATTAAATAAATACATATATGAATCGAAAATATATGTACGAGTATGTTATTAACTAAATATGATTTTTAATTTTATTTGTATCTGAGTAAAAATAGTAATGAAATAAACCAAAAACGTAAATGTAAAAAAGGGGCCGATATTGACATCTAAGTGGAATTTAAGTATAAATGATATTTGAAAAAAATGCTTCCTTACATTACAAACACGATCCAGTTATAAATATACCATGATAAATCAAAATTAACGTGTCAACAACTTTGTATAAAAGGAACATAAAAAAAAAAAATAGTTTAAACATGATAGTTGACACCCACTTAGACAATCGATTTTTTTTCGCCGGGGTTGAAAACTCCTTAGTGTTATTCTTTTTCTTTGTTGACTGTATCGTCTGAACATCTCGGATAATTTTTAAGATAAAAAAATATATAGACATTTTTATTTAATTTTAATTATAAATTGTATTGCAAATGCGCATGTAAGGGTTAACATTTTGAAAATCTGCTTAAAATGTTTATTTTTGTACCCACTCACCACCATTTCAAAAAAAAAAAAAAAAAAAAAAAAAAAAAAAAAAAAAAAACAAATTTCGTTCCAAGAGACTTTCATGTTACGAATATTTGAACGAAATAGTATGTACAAGTAACAATTTAATATCAATATGACTTTTATTTTTTTATCTCAAAAACGAACGTAATCTCGTCAATATAATATTTTAATTTATTATTTTCTAGTTCTTATAATATTCTAATGCGGAAATGTTAGGTTCTTATTTTTCACTTCCTTTATTCTCAAACAATTATAAACGGTTAAAAAACAATCCCAATAAAAATATGGGCAGGTGCACATAATACATAATATATATACATTTTTTTATGATTTTATAATGTGTAAACCTAAACATAAATACATACATACAGTAAGGATGCAAGTGAAATTCGTAGAGTAATTATATAGTAATTATATTGCAGTGTGTACATATAATATATCGTATAAAATATTTCACTTATTTATATAGTGAACAGTTTCAAATACATTATGTTCGTAGACATTTTTATTTATGATTTTAATTTGTGACCCTTATAAATGGTTAACCCTTAAAATATGATACGTTAATATTAAAAATGTCTAAAAATGTTCAAACTGCGTGTTGTATAGGTAATAACAGTATTATATAAACTTTTGATTTACAAACGGTATTTATAGTTTTATCTCCCATAATATTATATAGGTACGTATATTATTTAGGTGTCTGCGTATTCGAAATAGAAAACAATATCCCGGAACGATATTCGAAAAGAATAACTGCATTAAGTTGTCGTGCCTACACGTTCTGTTCAATATGTGTACAATGTACACAGTACACGTCATGTAATTACCCAATATTGTGGAAAACAAACACTCATCGTTATAAAAGGCTACGTGTATAAGAATAAGTAAATATAGGAAATTTAGGTTATAGGCGTAATTTTAATTCAAAAACTAATACTGTAACATAATGACGTATGTATAAATGCCATTAAAGAATTATTATTATGCTATATTTTCACAGTGATGTAGAAGACAAAATATAATATCGTTATTTATTATAACAAGTTTTGTTTGCAAAGTGCATCGAACTATCGAGATTCCCCCTTGAGCAATATTTGTATATGGAAAGTATATTTCTTTTACATGTATAATACACTGTACACTGCAGCACAGTCAATATTATACTGAAGTAACAATCATAACCACTTGGTTATTACGATGCACGAAGAAAAATCTCACTCATGAGGTAATAATACTTTGTTAATAATTATAATAAGAAAAAAAAATGTTGTATATCGAACGCTATAGCTCGTAGATAAAGGTGGCTCACGACTGGGAAATTTTAAGCTATTGTTTCAAAATTAAAAAGTGATATATTTGAATAGTGAAGGTATTCGTGCAAAAATATATAACATAGAAATATTGTAATTATGGTATACACCTCTATATTATAATATTGTAGATGATCGAAACAGGAAATCTAAATTGGACATTTTTTTTTTTTTTGCAGTTACGTTAAAATAACATTGATGGTAGGAACGATTCATAGAATTCATGTTATAAACACGAATCGGTTCGACTCGATATATACTTACAGCCATTATTAAGTGCAGTTGTTCTTATATAAATTAACTACATAGGTACATAAAATAATCAACGTTAAAAATATAAAATGTAAAAATACATTTCGAAATTTTAGCATTAATATTATGATTTGTTCTCATAAAAAGTAGGTTTACGAGTTTCATAAAAAAAGGTGATTGATTTTAATTTGTATTTTTCTATACAAATTTAACATGGCTTAAAATAGTGTTTTCCAGTGGTGGATAGAGATGATGTGGGCAATCGTCCTCCCCTCCTCGTTCGCTACACAATTAAACCTTCGCTTGATTTTCATTATGAATATGTGCTTTCCGTGAATTATTCAAAATAACCCCCTTCCCCCCCGAAGTTTCCTAATATAAAGCGTGTATTTTGGATTACACATGAAAGCATATCAACCAAATATGGGTATAGTTATTTTTCGAAGACAGTATTGGAGGTCGTCCTTCAATGAAAAAATCAGACAAAAAACATTCCTAACTTTCCAAAATTCCCTGCAATCAATAATTTTGACATAATATTATTATTTCTTGGTGAACCCCTGGTCCCGAAGCACAGCTATAAATAATATCAAATACGGTTCAGTAACCATAACTGAAACGCAAACATGGTGTGGTGGTAACCGCAAGGCAAACAACGTCCACCGAAGTATCGAAAACCGAAATAATAATAACAATTTAATGAGATAATTTGTTATTGTTCTGTATGCCCGTATATGGCCTGTGTCGTAGTGGTGAATACAAATTATAATATGGACCAGTTTGTAATAAAAAAGAAAAAGAAAAATACAAAGATGAATCTGTAAAAATTACCTAAGCAAATATCCAATAATACGTCATACCTTTTATATTTATGCTATCAAGTTTTGAAACTTGAAAGATATGTACCTATTATAATTATTACTAAACAATATAATATATAGGTACGTATATTATAGTTATTCTTTGTGGCTACACAAATATAGATTGTAATCCCTACACAAGTAAGTAAGTGTAAGTGGAAGTAGAACAAGAGGAATAAGCAAGTGAAAAAGTAATTTTTTAGATATCAAAATCAATAATTTAATAATCAATATTAAATTGTTTGAATCTCAAACAATACGATTTAGAGATGTCTGATTGGTGAATTAAGAAATTATATATTTTCTTATAATGCATAGAAATAATGTAATTATTATAAAAAAATATTTCAATGAATTTCGACATTCTAGGTTGAAATGGGTGGAATGGAACACCCTGCTTTAAAGTTATTGTACTGGTCGAAGAGTGTAGGACAATTGGACTAGCATATTTTTTTGGATCGCAACGACCAAGAATATGATATTATACCACCAAAGTGGTTGAAATGTTTGAAAGATAATGAACTGACTTCTGAGAGAGACAAATTTGATAAACACGCAAGACTGTCTAAAATGGTAAAAGAGGTCTCGTGTAATTTAGATAATCAACAAAATATATACTGATGATGATGAAATCACTTAAATACGGAAGTTAAACGAACTCGCATGCTTAATATAAAAAACGCACGATCGCGACGCTCTACAGCTATTTTTTTTAAATAAGTAGACCCTACAATACCAGAACTCATTCATAATATTATTTACTCTTATTTTTAAATATGGATGCTATGTTTATTGAATATTTAATTAAATATGTGTATCCTGGTGCGTATAAATCAATATGAACAATAAACGTTTAACTTTGTAGCCGCACATAGCATAATAATAATAAACTGTACAACAAATATTCAAATATCGAATCAGCAAAATATACGATAACTGTCGACTGCGGATATAACAGTCATTTGTAACCATAATAACACTTGGCAAATAATTCACGAATTCGAAAATATATACGAAAATTATATTACCGGTCGAGTAGGTAGCAGAAGTGCATTCTGAACGCTGCATATGAAATATTTTTAAAAATAATTTTATTTTTTAAATTAAATTGTATTTTGTCACTCATTTTAGATACCGAGTTTTTACTAGAAGAAGTACATATGCTTTTTATTCAGTAAGTAAAAACGCCCCGATATTTTGTAGGCATTACTACAAAAGACGCGAAATTCTTACCCGGTGATGCTTTATTTTGAAACATTTTTCGCGACACTTTGCAAAGTATTCAGAATATTTTGAAAATAACATTGTTTTGTTAAGTATTCGAGTGAATTGCTCGCGGAATGACCATTCGTTGTATGTATTCGAATATTTATGCCGAACACTTTTAAAAAATATTTTTCTCGAGTCTGCTTATGGCTTATATAATAATACGTTTGAAATCAGACATACTTTTTCAAGCTCTGGTACTATGATTTAGGTACTTATACTGTAGTTACTATCGAAATTCTTTAGGGTATCAATAATTTCATACGGGCACAAACCAGGAAACTGAATATGTTTGAACAGCGTAATCTCGTTAATTTGTTTAATAACAGTATTTATCGGTGTCGGATTTAACGGGGAAATAATAGACGGTTGACCAGACGACCCTCCCACAGCCACATCCGCAAGAGAGTAAATTATACGAATTGTAATTGTGTGAAAAAAAAATATTTAGCCGAGTATATCATTATACTATATATACAGCTAAGAGGTGTTAAGATCTAAAATAAAAAAAAAAATATATTTATTCAAAAATAATATTACTAGTGTTCAGAAACAACCAACAGGCGTGGATTTCTCCTTTAATCCGCCACTGGTATTTACAGTTGGTACCTACATCATAGTTATATAATGTTACCTAAATAAATCATATTCCAGAAATATGAATGCGTGTTCGTATGACGTGTATTTGGTTGAATTGGTTAAATAGTTTCTATTTTAAAACACGTTTAGGTAATTAAGGATTAGAATCGATTTTCAAAATTCAAAATTTTGTATACATTTAATGATACGTTTTTTAATTACCGCCAAATAAAACGGCCGTTTTTACGGTCAAATATGACGTTATAGTTCAAAAATGTCAAGATTTTTAATTTTGATTAACAAATTTACTTGATTACGACGGAGGCAATTTAAAAATTAATTTTTTTATTTGTGATTCTATGTTAAAAAAAAAAAATGTTATTTTTCTATTTATATTCTTCATCAAATGAATATAATTTTCGAATTATTTAAAATCGTCTTTGTTATAACAAGTAAACTTGTTAATAAATTGATCCATTTTCAAAATTTTTAATCTGTCAAACCTAAACCCAGAAATTTGTTCTAGTTTTTCAGTTTAAATGCCATTTTTTTCAACGACTGCAATCTCCTGAATAATATTTATTATATTTTTTTTTGTAGTTGGTACAGAACCAGAAAAAGGTTGACCCATATAAAAAACTTAATCTAACCCAACAGTTCCCTTTTATGAATTTCCGTGTACATTATTTGTAAGATGTCACATTTTATGGACATTAGATCTTAATTATCATAACATGACGTCATAAAGGTGATGAGAAAAAAAAAACGTTTTAACACTTTTAACGAGTTTTTTTTTCTTTATTATAATACAGACTAGCGTTATTTTTAAATTGTTTATTTTTAATTCCACGAGTCGGCATTCCAATTATTTTTAATTTTAAAACGGCCAGACAACATTTTTTTTTTTATCCAAAGAATGCATCACTATATGTATATTTATTTTATTTTTTGAATCCGAATGTATTTGTGTTTATATTACAAGAACGTTGCAGTCGGCTATTGCATTATTATTGCATTATAGATAGAAGTCAAACTAAAATAAAAACGTGATTGAAGAAATTAATAGAACCGAGTTAAGTGGAAATCGAAGGTTTTTAGTATATTCCCAAGTTAATGGTTAATGTATTAGTTACCTACCCATCTTTAAAATATTATTCAATGTTGTTTTTCAGTGAATTTAGGTCGCATGATTATTGTTCATTGTTAATTTTGAAATAATATATTCTATAGTATAATATGATGATGATTACTATATATGATATAGAAGCAATTGCGTATACAGGAATTAATTTTTAACTCGTTTTGCATGAAAGTTAATAATTGATACTTATTGCATGATTGATAACATAATGATAGGTATATTGGCTACATGGACTCATGGGTCATTTAATTAATCGTAATTGAATGATTGTTTGAAAACTGCATATAGTTTAATAGATATCGTTGGCAAGTGAAATATTAAAATTTATATTTAATATTTATTTTTTTCATTTTTATAATGTATATTTTGTATACTATATAATTTTGGATTAATATTAAAACTCAAATAGTTTTTACTGGTACTATAATATTATTACTATCAGCAATACCTAATCGATTTTCCGTTTAAATGTCATGGTTGTTTTCACTTGGTTAGGTCGTGACTCGTGAACGGACCGAAGAAGCTATTGCAGGTTTCACACGGTGTTTATTTTTTTTTCGACCCAGAAAATACTTGTAGTGACAACGACAGTGTTATGAAATAGATATCGAGCCATTATAAAAAAAAAAAGCCGGACGTACCTCGTACCGTGTGTAGTGCCTAGTGTAATAGATAGACGGACGTTTGAAATGTACAGAGTAATGTTTATATTCTGAAAGCAACGTTTAATCATTGAAATCGAAAAACAATTCTAGGTGGGGTAGTATAAGTCGTTCGTGTTTTTTGCCTTGTAGCCATGTGGTAATCCTGTAGAAATCAACACAACTGTAAAACTAACATTTGTTATGAGTTTTTTTTTTTATATAAATTTTATAGAAAAACTATTGAAAATCTAAATATTTTGTTTAAATAAAAACAATCTGTTAAAAAAAACCCAATTAAAAAGTTATAACATGAAAATTCAGAATATTTTTACCGACCCAAAAAATGTTTTCCGAGAGAGTAAAAATGATGGAAAAATAGTCAAATTATTCGAAAATGTCATATATTGTATTATATGCATTGAAACTTTTAACAAATTGTCAACTAAAAGTTTTAAATTTTAAGGTAAATATTACATTTAAGTTGAAAACTTGATTTCAAACTTGGACACCGAGCTATGCGTTTTAAAACGAACGTTTACAGTAAATGCGATAGCTATAATACATTTAACATAAATTCAAAGACTAGCGATTTCAATCTTCTTCGGAATGGAATATAATATTATCATCGCGTTCAAATTTCAAATAATAATTGAATGCTGATTTGTGACCTTATATGCTGCATATGGCCAACCTAGAACACGATTGGTCAATCAAAGGGACTTTATATAGATGTATTCGTATACGATTTAAACAATTTAAAACCGTGACACATAGATTTTAAATTAGAATTAAACTATATATTATATTGGATGTTATAAAAAAAAAAAAAAAAAATTAAAAATCGAAATTCCGTTTGACGATAATATTATTGTGATCGTGATAAAGTATTACAGTCGGTTATGTCTAAGTTTATACGTTTTTATTGCATTCATCTGATACTATTATTTTACAGTTAGTCAATCGTCTAGTTGTCTAGGTACATTATATTATATATTATAAACTGTCGGAACTATCTTCACGACCGGGCATAGAAAGTGTAAGTATACCTACGTGGAAGTAGGAAACACGATTAACCTTCGTCCAAGGTTATGAATTGACTTTTTTTTTGTTCACTTTTACCACACAGGATGACATAGACCGATGGATTTTTTTCTGGACAATCTGGAGACACGTTCACGGTGTACACAGAGACTACGGAGAGCATTGGTATTTTATAACAATAATAATAATATTTTCTCTCGACGATGATTTTCGTTTATTTTATTTTATTTTTTTAAACTTACAACGCTTCAATAACATAGCTATAGCTAACAATAATATTATTTCATCCGATTTAATTTTGTTAGTTAAACTATACAGATATTTTTATAATTCAATGTGCAAACAAGTTTGTTTTTACAGGTTTAATGTTCTATTATAGTATCATGTATATCGGTACTAAAAAAATACATTAACCAATGCAGTAGCAATAGTAAATTATTCAATTTACCAACAATAATTAATCAATTTCAAATATTAAGCAGAATATTTCGCTCGTTCTTTTGTTCTATTGCAGTGTTTAAGTAAAAATCAATGAAAGTTACGAATTTATATTTATATTGTAATAACATGATCCAGGTTCGGTGGGGCTTGTAGCACTTAAGACAGTTAAAATAATTCGATTATAAACTCTAAAAGAAAAACGTTTATAAATTATTAAAAAAACAACAAAATAAAACGAAAACAATTTTTATTTTTCTAAAATTTTAAAAAAAAAGCGCTTTTAAATTTCATAAATTAACTAGTAACCTAATGAATTTCCATAGAACTTGCCACTCAGCTACACATCCAAAAAAAATAAGCAAAATCCTGTTTGTTCATTAATGGCCAAAGAACAAAACAGTTTAGACTAAATAATTTGTGTAATTCAAAAAACGCATCGTTCGGTAAAGCGGGTGGTTTTGTCCGTAAAAGGCGGAGTGCGAAGGAATGATGAATAGAGGATGGTCTCTGGCGTAGTGAGTTGGGGCACGGAATATGTGATGTTGGATATAACATCAGGAACGTCCAAAGTGCCGTCTAAAAGCGAGGTTTGAAAGCAACGATCGATTTCGGTAAGATACTGTTGACATATTGAAAAAGTCTCGGATAACGCAAACGCGATAGGTAAGAAAGAAATTTATTTTGAAAGCGCTCATATGAAGTTTAAACAATGTGCATACATAATTATTAATTTGAAAAATGCGTATAATTTCCATTGCGTGTTAGATTTCATTATCAACTTTATGGTAATCTGGTTTATGGACGAATCTATACCGGAACACCGAACAAGGAACATAATAATAAAATATAATCTTAATAACGTTATAGGGTATATTTTATTGATGATAGTATCTACGTTACATTATATTTTTTTTAATTTTCTTTTAATGAAAAATAGGATTTAACCGGCTTTCAAGGGCGTGACTATTCGTTCCGTACTAAACTAGGTATGTTGATATAAAGTAGGAAATTAACAAAAAATATATATATATATTATTACTTTTATTAACGTATAGAAATGCGAGAAAAATTATGACGTGTGTACATTTATTGAATTACCCATACGTAACAAATATTATTTAATTTATTTAATAATAATGCACCCGCATCATTCGAAAACGTGCAACGTGCACCTACTAATACGTATGCCTATAGAGAAACGTTTTTTCGAACAGAATTTCAAAGTGGGGTTTGCCCATTTATTCGCATAAATAGTTTATGTTATAGATTTCTTGTTCAGAATTTTTTTTCTTTATATCTACCTTATAAATCCATATAGTATAATATATCCCCATTGTTGAAATGTATAGAAACCGACAATATTGCATTTGCAATGTTAATATAATAAGGAACCGGTTCACTTGACAAGGAAGCTAGCATATAGATGTATAACACTTGTATTATACGTTTGAAAGTAAAAATAAAAAAAACCAACTGGTTTTGATCACCGCAAACTCGAGCCCAGTTCAAATAATACATAAAATACGAATACTTGAAGTGCCTACACAATATGTATTATTATGATGCAACCGATCAAATCCCTAATTTTCAAAAACAATTGATGCAAAAAAAAAGTCTTCGTGCGCATTAACGTGAGTACCTACCTACGTACCTACTATACCTACTACCTATTGAAAAGAACAAAAACCGACTAGAATTCAATATCCATGACATAGTTAAGCATAGAATCCTGCGAAGCCTGAAAACATGGAAGACGAAACCTTGAAATATGATAGGAAGAAGAGCACACACTATAGCTATTGTCACGCAGTACAATACAACTTAAAGAAAGTATCATTTTAATCTTTTTTTTTTTTTTTAGCTCAATTCTTTATAGGTTTTAAATATTAAATCGCATCGCGTATACAAAATTACAATTAGACTGCCTAATTGAAGTATTTATTTTATGAAAAAAAAAAAGTTTTTATTATTATTACAATGCTGTCGGCAATAAACTCGGTTTTAAATAAACTAATTTAAGAATTACGCATAGGTATATTTTTATTGAGGTATACCTATCGTTTTTTGTTTCTTGTATTACAACACCGTCGTTCAAAAACAACAAAGCAACAAAATACAGGGTTGATTTTCATTTATAGAAAATATATCAAGTGAAAAACTAGTCTCGTAGTAATAGAACTTGTTTATGCGGTAAGTGCGCGTCGTGATTATGTTACTGGTTAGGTTAGGTTACAGGATGTTCCGATGTTTTTGTTTACGATTTTATTGTTACTTAAGACGAAACCGTTGCATTGAAAACCATCATGTGAAATAGCACATACACACATGCACGCTAGTTAACCCAGACGGTACAATTTTAGCTTAAGAAATAATAGATAACAATTTAAAATACCTATAATTTTAACGTTCGCATTATTAAAGAATTAAGGACGCACAATGAATAATCGCGACGACGGTTAGGTTATAGGCTTCACCTTTCATTACCAGAACGGGATAAAGTCTGGACAATAACTGATAATAATAATTATAAACTTGGCGTGTACGATATTGTTCATCGTATAATTTGAATAATAAACCAAATTATTGGGCCCAAAGTCGCAATAATATTAGAACATATTAACGTCGTTGTTACGAAATTACTTCTTACACCGGACTTTATCGGCCTAAATCGAAATTAAATCCGTTTCATAATAACTTTGCTACTGTATTGACTATCCGCCTATTAATATTTATGCGTTTTACACGATGGTTTACGATATTACGACTATTATTACAATATTCTCGTATATACGCTATTAAAACGTAATAATGAATTTTGCACGCGAACATAATTTGTCACCATTTATAAAACGCTATCGTTGTAGGCGATGATGATCACTTTGTATTTTTTTTTTTTTTTGGCTTTATAATATTAATCGTAAAACAAGCGCGTTCGTATTTCGATGACATAGCGTTTCGTTATTTTATCTGCTAAATATATTCGAATAACGAGCTAGATAACAACTCATTTAAACGTTTAATTATACACTCGTGTGTTCTATCGTTTAAATCCCCACTATAATAATTGGCGATTGTACGAGTGAGAGAAAAAAAAACGTATCGAATGATAATAATGAATTTTAGCTTAATAATTTATCGCTAATCGTTAATAACAATATGGAACATTGAATAATACTGTACAGTAATGTAAAATTATATTGTACAATAATATTGAACATGGCAGTGATGTACGTGACGTCGGTTTTTATAATGTACCCGTTTTTTTTTTTGTCGGCGTTTTAGTTCGACAAAAGGAGTCTTCCGATTGTGACATAACGCAGAACGCGTGCGGCGGTGTAGATTTTTAAACGGTCGGAATTATGCTTTCCATTTCTCCGGGCCGATTAATAATAATAATAATAATAAAATTGGTATAATTTACTAATACACTAGTCGATGCTCGAGTTTTTATAGCAAAGTGGGGGAGGGGCTACGTACAACAATATTGTTACATATTCCCCAGATAACGGTTAAAAAGGAAATAATAATAATAACGAACGTTCAAAACTTTAACGTGGGCATAAGACAAACGAACCAGTTAGAAACTTCCGAATCGTGTATAGCCTCAAACGATATTTTATTATATATATACATAGGTATATTTATTTTATTTATTATTTTTAATAACCTACAGGTGCACCGGTTGGACCGAAAGTAAAAGTAGTCACGACCGTTTTCGTATATACCTATCTATATACACGTATGCATTACTATACGTCACGTACCTACCCTATACCTGCTATAGCGGACTTTTCGTCGATTCGGGCTGATGGCTTACCGTTTAGAACGCAAAACGAATCTTCCAATTCCATACTGGGACACCGGTGCCGGACGCGTTGCATGATTTTTACTATCGCTGCCGGTCGTCAAACGATACGGTTTTTTTTTACGATCATTTGCCGAAATACGCGATAGACGGCGATAAAAGTACAGTAAAACAGGCAAACGCGCAAATATTATCGTTAATAATATTGGATACGGTCGGGGGGGGGGGAGACGTACTAACGAAATCCGATCTGGACCGCGATCGAAATAATATTATGTCGAAAAAAAACGCGGGCGAAAACAAAAGTATCCGTAGCGTTAATCGACCGTTAAACTACGGCACGGTAACGTCTGCGAACGTGGTAATAACAACAAAGCTCATATTATAATCGACCCTTGCTACGCTGCATCGCGATCAAGACTGAATTCCGACTGTTTTAACATTGATAACCTTACCGCACACGAGAGCCCGTACGCACATACGCACGCGATTATTTTCAAGGCAAACGTATAGTGTTTCGTATGTGTGTATACGTACGTACAACACAACTCGTTTTTTAGAATAAACCGATGCATATATATATATATAAATATTTTTTTTATCGTACGATGCCGAGGGTACACCACCGCGCAGTATGTAAGCCGGCCGGCGCACGGTGTATGAAATTACCTCGTTAAACGTTACTTAAGGAGCGCGGCGGACCTTGTGTGTGAAGCCGGGTGTTTTTTCTCCCTTCCTGACGGACGGAAAACGCGGCCTTGCGACGAATGAAAAATAAATCGTTTGGAAAATCAAACGCCTGCGTATTAGGCTGTTTTCACACATTTACTCGTTAAGTTACGAGGTTGTAGTAGATACATGATTTTTTCTTAAAGAACGCAAATAAATATACAACTTATTATGTATTTTTTTTCACTCGGAATCAAATTTAATATTGTACAGTTATTAGAATAGCTCATTTGTAGAAATCTATACGGATTCTCAGCATTTTTTTTTTTAATTCTCAACTCATCATAGTCTATGAAAAGCCGATCTATAACCAAGGACCGAAAGCAAGGTTTTTTCATAACTTACAAAATGAACTTTATTTGAACATTTTTGGTCAAAAAGTGGCCGAGTTAGGTGTACAACTTTATAATATGAATAAAAATAATGATAAAACCTCAATTTTAATAGATTTCCACAAATGACCACAAGGAAGCAATTTCCAGGATTAATTCGAAAAAAAAAAAATAAAGTTAAAAATCAAAACAGTCTTCTACATGTATGTATAGATATTATACTCGTATTATAATAATGTACGTCAACGATCCCGACGAAACCGTCAAGTTTATTTTGTCCGTCAGCTAAACGTATTTTAATACGGTCGTCGTCGTCTTCGCGATAAATCATCATCGTCGTTGGTTGTCGGGGCGAACTCCCGACGACTATAACGGTATTCGATTAGGGTTTTCGCAGTGAAAAACAAATATATATATTGTATTGAATAAGCAACTATCACGACCGTGCTAAATTATAAAAGACACTCGGAGATAGGTCGATAAGCAAAATGTAAAGGTCATCAGTATGGGGCCTCTATTTCTTTAAATCAGGCTCTTAAGTTTTCGTGACGGTGTTCGTAGCGGATGGAACGTTGCAGTCGGCGATAACCATAATCAGTAGCGGCTCGAAGTATTTTTGTACCTTGAAACACCGATTTAATTTCCCACCCATTCATGCCAACCCAAAATACTTCCACCCTGCTATAAATGTATTGAAATTTAACAAATTCTAATAAAATTCGTCAAATTTATCACATTTCCGCACAGTCTAAAATTCTTTTAATGAAATTTTTATTTTGTAAAAACATAGTATTTTTTGTCATATTTCTGAACACCCAGTAATCCACGCACCCGCCCACCCGTTTTTTTCGCGAATCACGCGATTCAAATGCGTATATCCTTTTCGAGCCGCCAATGACTATAATATATGATTACAACGGATCTTTGGTTTTCTTTCTTTCAAGAATATCGTGAAGTATTTGCGGTATTTAAACGATTTGTTAACAACAGTCTTTTATACGCTACCTATGCATATGTATATTGTGTATACTTTCAACAATATTACAAATAATTTATTATTGTGCGGAATAATGACCGCGCGACATAATAACAATATCATAACGAATACTTATATAGATTAACTATATAGATTTAAAATAAAAAATAATGATAATAATAATAACGATTATTAAACTTTGATACCTGATAATTACCTACATGCATATTGTTTGCGAATAATTTATTCGTTTTTCACATTTAATATAATAATAACACATAGAACGTATTATTCCGAGAGAGAAATGCCTCTGTATGCAGATTGTCCGTACGTGTTACTATTTGAATATTTCAAACATGCAAATGTAGTGCATTTTTGTGATTATATAAAAAAAAAAAAATACGAGTATATTATAGGTAGTAATTACTTATAGTGATTTTACTTTTGAAACAAGTGCCTATACACTATATTTAATTATTCGCGTAATTACCGATTAACGAACGCCCACATAAATATACTTGAAGGATCGACATGCAAATTAATATTTTCTTTGTTTATACTCGAAGAGAAATCCGAAAAATATATAGGCACGCTATAATATTATATCCCACGCTACCAAAAACACTTATCGTTTAAATGGAAGTAACGATAAATCCGTAAATTTCTCATCCGTTGCCTAATAATTATTAAATGGGTATAACGTTTTCCAACGTCCATGTATACCCGCGTATTTTTTCTCCGAGGCGAAAATGCGAATCGAGAGTATACCGCGGATAGCCCTGCCCTGCGAAAAGAGCCCGTCCGCAATTTTGTCGAGGATAACAATGGACTTTTCGCAGAGTTCGGTTTTCGTATTATTTTCAACGTCGCCCCGGGTGTGCATTCGTTCCGATTAATGTACAAATAATAATTATTTAAATTAATTAAAAGCAAGGGATCTATTCTCGAGACCGTTATATATGCCTCGCGGTACCCGTCTCTACATAGTACTATAATAATAATAATAATAATAATAATAATAATAAATACATGGCAACAACTCGAACGGATGTATAACGTTCGCGAAAATTGCATCGGTATATCCGAAAATACGCATCGTGACAGTGGCGTGATGGCGTGCATAATATAATGGCAATGTAAGCGTTTTCTATACACTCTCAATAATAAAGAAATATCATAAATATATTTTTATTTAAACAATTTAAGCCAAGATCAAGTAAAATTATATTATTTAATTAGTTACATTACATTTTGAAATAGTACAAGGAGATGACAACACATATATAAGCAGCAACTTTAAAACGTGTTATACCAGTATTTCTCAACTTTTTTACTGTCGCGAACCCCTATATGAATATTTAATTTTTTAGCTACCCTTAGATTTTATACACGACAACCAACCCAATATTTTATATTTTTGGCGACCTCCCAGGTTTAAAAACACTGTGCTATACGACCGATCATTGTGATATCAATAGCATGATGCTATTTACGATACCATCAGCGTTGGTACGATCACATACAACACTGCAATATTGAAACTCTAATCAGGCATCTTTACACGTAGACTTCAAACAGTTCGACTTATCGAGATTCCGCTGTATTATAATCACTCGATAGTGTTTATTTAGGGTTACGGTTAATTATTTAAATCATTTTTGATTATATGTATGTTAAATACATGGTGAGCGGCTCGCTTGAGATAGGTAATAAAAATAAATGGAGATACAGGTATACACAATTATTGGTGATTGCTTACACCACTGACTACATCACGCCAAACCACTACCTACGGACATGACCTGACTGAATTAATAAAACTTGTCAAAATCTATATATTATACTATAATCTCTACGCGAGTCTGCTAAACGATTTTTATTGAAAAGAGAAAAAAAATATGTATATATATATATATATGTATAAGTACAGTTTGTAGGATACGACGTGTAAACTGCGGATTAACGTTAAAAGGAACCGCGTAGTATTATAGAATCATAAGAAACATGGCGTTTGCGTTTAATTCACAACGATTATCTAACGCGAACGTAAACTTCGTCGTCCAGTTTGTTAGGTTTGATTTTGCTTTCACGACGATTTGAATTTAAAAAAAAAAAAAAAAAAACCTAGCAATTTGATATAGATCAGAGTACGGTTTCAAATTGTCGGTAACTTATGCCTTTCTCCGGCGTAGGGTCATACTTTCTATCAACTTGCTACAGATATACTATATAGTGTTTATAATCAGGCCTATTGTCTTTTTAAACACGGGTACCTTACATCCATTTCAAGTATTTAGCATATAGATAATATACTCCGTACAGCCAGTATCACATTTTAAAACAACGACGGCGGCGGTATAAGACTTAACGATATCGTAGAACCGATTGTTGAAGTATGACTTCCAATGTCTTGCAGGAATATCTTAAGAATATTATACTAGGTTGGAAAGGTATAGATGACGTTGAAATGATAATCCCCGGAATCTCTTACGGATAATACGAAAGAAACCGGTAGGTATACAAAGTGAATATTGTATTTTAGACGATAAAATTAATTTACCTTGTTGAGCGAAAACTTGAAATTTAAACACACATATATATAGGTACAATTATTATGTTATATAAATATGATTAAATCGATCAAAATAATATTCTAAAAAATAATAATGTTAACAAATACGATTAACTTTATACCAGTATGTTTAAACAATATTGTAATTATAATACTACAGATTTTTTACGTATCGAATTCATTTTTATTACGAATAACTTTTTATCCTCGCATTAATATTTTAACCGCATAAATAATATTTAGCCAATACCTGTCAGCGAAATATCGTTTATATATTTATGTATTCGTTATTTTTACCGTTTTAACCGTCGTCGATACTGTATTATACATAATATCAAAACGATTTGTTCAGTTGAAAATTGTTAAGGTACTTGAACCTATTTAGTATAAAACGTCGAGACTATTTAATACACGAAATGTACCATATTACAAATACAGTCTAATAATAAAATGTAAATCACTAATTATAAATAAACCTTTTAAATGCCAAAATGTAAATTGAAACTGAGCGAAGAAGTATTTTAATAGGTAATTTTAAAATAACTTGTATGTGTTTTGGAATAGGTATGTACACAATAATTTATTGTCCGCCTAACGGCTACCGGCTTTTCTCGAATACATTGTTGTACCTATACCTATTATAATATTACACGTAATTTTATTATTCACGCGGGCATTTGAAAATAATCGTTAAAACGGTGGACTTTATGACGATGACGGTAAGTTTATCTGTATTATCGGATACGCCAAATTAGTGTTTAATATTAAAACTCAAGTATAGGTATTCCGCAACTTTGCATAATAAGATAGCGTGCTATTATTATTATAGGTGTACACTGTACCGCCGTCATATAGGTACCTACCGATTTAATATTTTACATATACGTAGCGTTGTGCGCTCGTACAGAGCCCCGAGTTTTTAGAGCCCCTCCCCCATACCCCGTCTGTTCGTAACAAAAGCTAGTTATTAATGTCACGGTAATACTTAGGAAAATACAAATTACAATCAATTATGAACCGAGAAGAATTGTATTGTAAAGATTCACCCACGCTCGGTATTAGACGGTTAAAAAAGGGGGAAAAAAGAAGCTTATCGTGGCCCCGCAAAAATTACTGCACAGTGGCACGGGGCTGCGATATTTTCCCGGCCGGTTTTGCACACCGGTGTGCCGCGTTTGAAGAAAGTTTGAAAACCGCCTAACTTTACTGTTCCAATTATAAGAAATCTGTTAAATCTACTTTGCAATAATTATTAATTCTGGAACTTGGATCAAAAAGAGCCAATGTCACCTTTTGGTGAAAGTTTTAAAGGGTTTTTCGGATGGTAAAAGGGCGTATCTCAATAATCATTATTGTGAAATTTGAGAAGACCAACGGTGTTAGAACAATTACTGTTGCGATATAAAAAAAAAAAGGCCTAAAAATGCGTTTTGATTTCGAATTTTTCAAAAGTGATTAAAAGTGAGCTCGGCCCTTTTCGACCAATGTCCCAGAACTGTACTCTTAAACGCCGTGTAAATATTACATTTCACGCGGTTCTCCGAGAATTTCGTACAATATACTATATCGTAGCTAACGCCTCTAATAATAAAATACATCGAAACTGGGTCTTTCAGACAATATGTATACCGATCGGCAAACAAATCAAAAGTGTAATTATTTCGAATACAAGTACCTACACCGCGAAGGCAACCGAAAAGAATAGACTATTATGATATTTTATACGAATGCATAAATATAGCGTACACGGTGCTTATAGTGTTGAGCCGACGCTGCAGTAGAGAGTGCCGGGACGGTTAGAAATTGTGTCGTACGAGCACGCGAACGATAATATTGCGGGCGACGATGCGAATAATATTCGTATTAGTAAATTAAGACGGTATAATACAGCAATAATAATAATAATAATAATAACAATTGTATTAAAAAACGGTAGGGAATGCACAGCGCCGAGTGTCCGAGGCGTTCGGCCGAAATGTCCACGCCGAAAATCCCAAATTAATATCTACCGAAAATCCGGAGTCCGATTCGCAGTGACATTGTGAAAACGTACGACGCAACGAAAATTTATCACGCATACGAATTATTTCCATTTCGCGCGACCATAATAGTTTTACGTTAATTTTGCACTATTTACAGTAAAAATGCCGCAAATATTGCAGAATTACGGCGACACGTCACAATTCGCAGCGGTCGTACCTATACCTATGGCTTGGTGTCACCGTTGTTATATCGCTTGTGCGTAATACGCAGACTGTATAAAACATCTACGCGCTGTTATTTCGATCTGTTGGTAATAACATTATAATTATATTCTCTCGAACGAAAATAATAATTAAAAAAAAAAAAACCTTCGTCGATTCCGTCGAAACGTCCGAGAGAGGCAAAAACGCCCGGGCGATCCGGCGGTAAAATTCGGCCGACAAAAGGAAAACGAAATGTCTTGAAAATCGCTTTTTAATCAAATTAACGCGAATTTCGAACGAGACTTTTTTTTTTTTTTTTTTTTTTTTTTAATTTTATTCGATACGTCTCGGTATTCTATAGAATACGAGATGAGGGGCGAAAAGTCAACATCAGCTTCTGTGTTCTGTCGTCAATTCTCGAGTGTTATTTGATATTAAAAACACCACGGTAATAGTTGCATTGTTTTTTTTCTGTTTTTTTTTTTTTTTTACAGTCGAGATAATAATGCGTATACGACGACGAAACAAAAAATCGTACACGCGATTGGCGAGTTTTAATGTACAATATTGTTGTAAGAGTTTAGATTTCGTGTGTAAAAACACCTTTTCGCGGGTTGTAGAACTGCAACATAAACTATTATAGTTAAAATATACCTAATAACACTTCATAGTTGCGGTAATGAGTTTAGGAACCGGTTTTTTAGTAATTAAAAGTAGATATTGTGCGTTAATGCCGCTGCAGCTTTCTATGTTTGAAAAAATTCAAACAATTATAATATAGTACGCCTGAAATATATTACCAATTGAGAATTACAAGGCGGCGGTGGCTGTTGTGATAAAATAAGAGATAAAAATTATAACATAAAAAAAAAAAAAAAAAATAATTATTAAATTTGCTTAATTGCAATAAACTATATACTTATAGTTATAAACTTGAATTTAATTATAAATTTCCATAGTGTCTATAGGTGTACGCAAAAATTATAAATTGCGTACGACTTTGCATTTGCATCTTGATTTAAGGTCACCGTTTTGGGTGAGTAGCGAGGACACAATCCGCGGTAATATTTTATTTTTATAATTATTAATTTAAATTTTAAAATATATGATAACTATGAAATATTCGAGAAACGATCCGAGTAGCAAATCTCGGATTTTTAATACGCCACTGTTGTAGTATCGAATGAGACGGTTTTTTAGTTTTTAAGCCGATTGTTTATTAGTTTTTCACGATTTCCAGATTCGACGGGATTGAAAAATCGATACAATTTTTATCCGCCTCATGTTCAATTATATTATATTATTAATTGGATTGGTCGCCGGGCGAAACTTTTATCGCACGTCTTGAAATATTGCCGACTACTTTAAAACGTTTTTCGATAAAACAGTTTTTAATACCTATTTCTCGTTCCGTTCAGAATACGATACAAAACACAGCAGGTACGTTTACAAAAGAAAATTTTTTTTTGGGGGGGGTTTCAGATTGTACAATTTCATACTCTTATAACAATATAATACATACTACATATACATACTTTCAATTGTAGGGTTGTTTATTTTTCATTAAAAATTTCAATATTTTTAACCTTTTAAGGTTCCTGTATTACTAAATTTTACGTTTGTTTAGCGAACATAGCCTAAATGATAACATATAATTGTGATGATGATGCGGTCTATGCAAGAACGCCGTATCAGTTATAATTTTCTAAAATCAGGAGAACCACAATTTTAAATGACAATAATAACGGTATAATAATATATACCTACTATCTAGCAATAAAATGAAAATAAAACCAAAATTGAATTTATCCTTTCTCATTGACAGAAACCATTTTTGAGACCAATAAAAATCTACTTTCATCATATTTTCATGAAATGTAGTGGAATGGGGGGGAGGGGGAGTTTTAACGCCTAAAACTCCATTTGTACACGCGCCTGATACACAGATATGCACATCGAGCTGATACGAATGATACGATTTTAATACACATTATATTAGGAATTAGGATTACCCGCATAAATTATTATATTATACAGCAGTCTGGCTACTATATAAATAATCTAGACGTAGATGTTTAATATTATACACTCTTTCATTGGGAATTGTATTAATTGTTACAGTTTTACTCATGAAAACCCGACAATGTAGACTATACTGTAGTTACGAACAGTGGCGCAACTAGAGGGGGGTGATGGAGGTTGTGGCCCTCCCCGAAATATGTTTGGAGAATTCCACGTAGTACGTAAGTATAAAAGTTTTATGATTTATACACCAATTTGAAAAGTAATTTCGTGACATAGTGTACGTGTTGCTTTAGTGTACAGATAGGTGATAACAGCAGTAGCGTGTTTTTTTAAAATTTATAACCCTCCATTTTCCCCAAATAAATCCTGGTTGCGTCAATGGTTGAGAATCACTAATTTTTACTATTGTATGTACCGGTAACCGGTAATATTCTGAAATCTACACGGAAATAATATTGTATAGCGAACCTTGCGCCAATATCGGAATGGCCGGTCTGGAAATGGAAATTTTACACAGACCGATTTGTTTATTTGTTTCTTAACGCCATCAAATTTTCATTTCAATACTAAAAATTCAACTGATTCTTCAACAAACTGGACTCAAAACTCACACGATTTATTGTGAATATTATTACTGTGATAGTTCAACGATACAGCAGTATTGAAATAATTTGTTTAGTAGGTACTGAAAGCTAAAAGTACTAATAGAGTAATTATAATAAGAACTCTTAACAATATTATTTGTATACAGAACGGAGTAAATTGTTATTGAAAATATTTCACGCGATACATTCTTATTAAATTTTTTTTCATAACTTGTTTGGTATAAAATTGGAAGAGGGGGGGGGAGGAATGTCGGGTTGCCATAATGAATAATTCCAATCTCCCTGCATGAATTCAGTTCCCGCTCAACCCCTGCCTTGTACATAAAAATATGCTTTGTTTAATATTATCAATATAATAATATGATACCAACCTACAATTTTATTATTATTCCTTATCTGGTACTAAATAAATTGATAATTTTCTACAGAAAACCCGATCGTCAAATATTATTTTTGTACAAATCATACTAGTATCTATTATCTGTAAAATGTATTGTTTCAATATCTCGCAATATTTTGAGATTTATTCAAAAGCGAATTTATAAAAGGGATAAGACACGAAACGCGTCTTATTATCCCATGTATAATATCGAACGAAGTTCGACCAGGTTTATTCTGACAAACGGAGGCCAATCAAAATCAATTACAATATTGTATTACACCATCATAATAATAAATTGTCATCGTTCCGAGTGTTTTGTCCAAGTCCCAAACCATTGAAAATGTCTGGCATCATGGGAAAGTTGCGAGTGGAATAAAATCAAACAGGTGCGACCAACATTCTAGAAGTATGGTTAAAGTGAGAATGGCGACGGCACTCGATCAATCTTAGTAATACATTTGAAGCATTTTCACACTAACGTCGAAATCGTATCATAAACTATAATACAAAACAAACCGATACCTTGTAAAACAGACGAATCGCGAATACTATTATTTCGTAATCTTAGATCAGCACGTGTAGGCAGATCAGGTTACCTATCTTAGTAGGTAGTATACTCGATCGTAATATTATTTTGGTGTAGGTACACATTTCTGTGTAGGTATCATATATGTGCCAATATGTTTAATCATAATTAATTTCTTAGTCCTCACAGTAGGCACCCAGTTAAATTAAGAGCTTAGGTAAATTGTGTTTTATTGAAATTATAAAATATACATAAAATAAAAAACTATATGTACTACCTGCGAAGCTACAGTTTCCATTTTTAATGTTCGCCCAATCTGCTCTCAGTTCTTTAAATGTTGCCATAGATAATTGGAATATAGATATTAAAAATAACACTATTTAAATTTACTACTAATTTATTCTGCACTAGTATTAAATAAAATAATAATTGTTGAACAATATATTAAATTAATCAAAAAGTAATCATTTATACAAAATATAGGTACAAGTAACGGCATAAAGAGCTCCGACAGTCGTCGACTGACAACTGAATATAATATCGAAATTCTTAAATTCTCTGATAATAAAAATCCATATTATTATTATAACGATGAAAATAAAACGGAAAACAGTAATAATTAAGAGATAACCGATAAAGCGATATTACCTAATACCAAAAACGTAGAGATGATGTGCATTTTTTTGATTCTTGGAATACCTATAAAATAAATATAGCCGTATAGATACCAATATTTATAGTGTAAGTAGGTTTATATATATATATAACTGTATATAAATATATACGGAGGGGGCAGCATAAAACGGGGAAAACAACGCACAAGAAAATAATATTAAGGCATTTTATTTGCGCGGAATGATAAATACCAATGGTTCTCAGTCTAACGTTCGAATCGCTTAGAGTACTCGAGCACGGACTCATATCAAACTCATATCATCGAATTCATAATCGAACATCGAATATCGTCGGGTTGGTAACAGGGAAAAAGTGCGATGTAAAAACGTCTACTTTACGAAGTAGGTAACAGAAATATTTCAGAAACCAATCATTATTATTATTTTCCCGGCATACACAGTTTATGAGGAATGAGGACTGACAGTTTATAGTAATTTCAATTTTCGATGCATTTAAATTAGTTTTTTTTTTTTAGTTAAGACAAAATCAATTTCGATAAATATTCATACAATATAGACTTTTAAAAACCTCTATAGTAGGCATTTAATAATTATTATACAATAATACTGAATATTTTCTCGTGAGCAGAAATTCAACAGTTAATTGAATATTATTTTTAATTATACTCGAATAATATTTTAATGTAAATTCAAATTGGATTTGACATTTTTATCAATAATTGGTAAATCGGAATGTGGCCTCACTCCATTATAATATTAGTATTATTATTACTAATTTAATTGTACTAAAAGTAACACCCCTACTTATAAAATGGACAGGCAACATATTATGCATTTTATCATAAAGAATTATGTATTTTTTTTCCTTAATGCTAGCGTTGAAAGTCATATCCCTTACTATATAATGTGTAGGCAATTTATTATACATAGTGTCATAAAGAATTTTTTTTTTTTTCCTTAATGCTAGCATTAAAAATTTTATCCCTTACTACGGAATGTGTAGACAACTTATTACGTTTTAAATCATGAAAAATAAAAATTAGAACATTTGGGTAATTATAAGCTATTAATTCAATTAATTAATTAATTTTTATATATACGGGAAATCCCTAATGTTTTTGATGTAATTTATAATTAGGTTTTATTGAAGCTAATAAAATCTATAATTGTTATCACTGGAATTTTATAATTCAAAAATATTGACAATAAAAAATAATAATAGTTAATTTTAAATAGGACATTTTCCAGTGAGCGATTGAAACATAATGAAGCCTACTTTTAATACCTCAATACCTACTCGATTTAGGGTTTAGATTAATCATATTTGTCATATTTGTCTAGACTTCATAAGAACAATAATGCAACTTTTAATTAATTATATTTTTAGTACTTATGTTGTGATTTTAACGGCTTAGTTATAATATTATAATCCTAAACTTAACTAAATACTAATATCCGTCTAGTTGTCTGTCAGGCACACGATGATAAGTACCTATATGTACAAAATAATTAAATCAATCGACTAATATCGAAAATAAAGAGAAGTTTTTTCAGATTTAGCGTGGCCAATAAGTATTTAAACCGTTCACAACTTATAAATAAAAATACCTATGTTGTTTGTTCGTTTGTAAACAAAATTTGTTGGTACACAAAGTACAGTGTAAAGGCTACGTTCGAACATGAACGAATGAATGCGTACTCAACGGAATTTCATTCGCAACTTTACGGCTGTCGAAGAGAAACGATCCGAAATCTTATAATGTTACTTACAGAGTTCCTGGCGAAAAAAAATTACGTAGAAACTCGCAAAATTAAGATGTCTATAAATGTTTTAAGTATTTAACCACGTTTAGAAATAACAATTATTCGTGTTCTGTTAAAATTTTTAGTCTCTTCTCTGTTATTATTGAAAAGTAGATGGAAAATTTAATGTATATCAGTAAGCGACGATAAACCATTGCTAAAGAAAAAAACTATTTTAAGCGGAGTTCGTTTGATAGTGTTGCTTTATCAACAATACATCATACATCATTTTATGATCAAATGTATTATATTTTTTTTTTTAATAATATTTGTATAACATTGTACTTATTTTCCCGTTTTTCTACGTTTTTCCTGGTTTTCCCATGTCCTTCCTATTTATTGGAAAACAATCCAGGGAAAATCAAAAAATAACCTACATAAATTACCTTTCCAGTCAGATTTGCCTTCAGAAAAAGTGTTTTCATAGTAAATCAGAGCAAAATTGCTGGTAGAAAAGTTGTCCATAGAAAAAAAAAATAAATATCATTGTAAAACCAATACATTTCTCACTCAAACTTGCCTCAAATAAGAACCATCATAGACCTAACCCCAGTGACTTAACCCTATGTTACAGATTGGGGGGAAGGAGAATATATCTTCACTATTTTTACCCATTCTTTTAAGTAGAAAATTACTTAAAGAGTAACGTCACAGCTACAGTTTTAAGAAACTTGTATTCAATTAAATATAATATAAATTAAAATGTGTGTTATAAATTTATAATGCAAAGTCTAACTTCCGGGTTTTCATAAAAGAGAATCTTTTAATGATATCATTCATCGTTATACTTATTTCCTGGTTAATATACAACAATGCAAATCCACATAAGCCATCCTAGCCTATATTGATACCAGAAACCTTGACCGGGTTAACAAAAATATTAATATTTATGAATTTAACCATGTTATCATATTATTAATAATTCAAATTTTATTTATTACTACTCCATGGAAAACAAATTTCAAAATAATTGTAACTAACCTAAAAAAAATAACAATGTACCACATAATTCTATGGCTTGATGCAAGAAGGGCCAATGTTATATTTTGTGATTGTTGAAAAACGGGCTTTGAAATTTTAATTCCCCATATGGCTCTATGTATTTTATTAAATGTAAATGTGTAATTTTCGGTTTTTATTTAGAAAATAAAAAATTACATACTTTTTCTTTTTTTATTATTCTAACTGATTTTTTAAAAATTTACATTGGCTTTTCTCGTACCAATCCACATTCTTATGTGGCATTTTTTTATTTTTTTATCCCTCGTCCCCCTCCTGGTACGCAGCAGATGTTTATTTATCTAATACGTTAATACATGTGGCGTATGTTTTGATTAAGTTGATGGAACTAATGTTTGATGCAGTAATTTGAGGTATACACTTGGGGGAGAGGGTTTACCGTTTGAAGTCACTCTCATTGGTGGATATCCTGGCAAATATAAGGGAGAGCTTTATAGGATGATTTGAAAAAATGTTGGGGTCTTGGCAAGAGATTGGGGCATATGCTCCCAAGCCCTCCAAAATTCATCATTGTCGTCGTCCCCCTTTGAAGTTTGGTCAAAACCGTCACTGATCAAGAGGGAAATATATATATGTATTTTAATTTCTTAAATACGCCACTTGCGATACTCCAGTACTCTTAATATCGCGGCTTAGGCTAATACACACTACTAGTTTTTCATCCTTTAGGAATTTTTAATTTGTATTCCAATTACTGTGAATTTAAGAGGACTATAAATTTGAGATTCCAATTCCAGGTTTTGAAGTTTATACTAGATCTTATTATATTGTCTTTTTTTTTTTCTGATAGAAATCATTAATTTATATATCACAAAATAAATTAATAGTTCATGCGTCTATAAAAACAAAATGTATTAAAAGAAATGTTCAAGAGTGGTCCAAATTTGATAATTACCTTTATGAGTACACACATAATTTTAATTTCAAAATGTAGACACATGGTTCCGATTTCGATAAAAACAGAGAGCGGGACTCCTCCAAAATTGGAATTTTATTTAATATACGGGGGATCAAACTATCGTGAGACACTTATTATCTCGGAAAGTGTTAACTTTTTTCCAAATTTGTTTTAAAGAACATTTTAGAAACAAGTAGCTCTACAATTTTACATTTATGTTACTTTGGCACACTCATTATTAAGGGTGAAACGTCTACATACTTTTGATTTTCAAATGGCAATCTGTATTAAAAATTCCGTAAATAAATAAAATAGTAGTTAAAATAAATGTTGGTATTTAAATTTGTAATTTTCGTCAATTCGATATTCCACTTTTAAGTTTGGGTCGGGGAAGAGTAGTGAAGCATCATTTATGTGGCGGCACAGCGCACGGCGTTTTAATAATATCTAACTACTCCCCCCAACCCAAATTTAAAAGTGGAATATCCCGTAAACGGATTGACTTTAAACACCAACATTTATTTTAACTACTACTCCCATCTATTTATGGAATTTTTAATATAGATTGTCATATGGAAATCAAAAGTAGGTAGTTCTTTCACTTCCAAAAATTAGAGGACAAAAAATAACATAATTGTGAAATTGTTGAGCTGCTTGTTTCCAAATTGTCTATGAAACAAATGTCAAAAAAAGTTGATAATTTCCGAAATAATGAGTGTCTTATGATAGATACATCACCTGTATATTAGGACTATTTAACTCCCTCCCCCACCCCTAATTATATATCTAATCTCTGCTTGTGGACAAGGATCACTGTTAGACTATAGTTACCTATATATATAGGTATTTTGGTTTCGTTTAAATGTCACCGGACTCGCGTACTTGTACGTCACTGCCGCAAACGAGAACAATCTATCACGTGCCACTTTATTAATCGACGCTTTCGCCGTGGAAGAAAATAAAACCAGAACTTTGACCCAGCAACAAACAAAAAAAAAAAAAATTATTTAATCTAGAACGCACGCACACACGAAAACGGCGAAAAACAAAAAGTAAAAAAACGACCGATATTTTTCCGTTGACGTTTTTCAAGTTGTATACCTACTTGTAACTTAACTATACCGGAATTATCCAGTTTATTACAAGAAGTGTTTTAATGTATAGATTACAGGTATATACTGGTTACTATACGCAAAAAGGTTTGTAACTTTGAAAGGAAAGTTAGATGCCGATAAATGAGTATTCACTAGTCAATAAACACCGACCGTTACCAAAACGTACCGAATTAGAGATATGTAATTATTATCTTCTTTATATATATAATTCTACTGTACGTGTGTATGTCACTGAACTCCTCCTTAACGGCTGGACTGATTTTGACGAAATTTTTTATATATGTTTGAATGGGTCCCTGGATGGTTTAGATTCACAATTGGACCCGATAGGTGGCAGTGCAAGGGTAGATGACACAGAGTAATTGGTATTTTTAGTACAGCGATTTTTTTTTGTTGATTTATGGGTTACCTTGGTGATACGGATGAAATTAAAAAACAAAAAAATGAATGATCAGTAAGATATTCCGTGTAAGTTGTCCCAAAATTTAAATGTACATTCTGATAGAAAATTAATAAATAAAGATTCATCAGAGGGCGCCAAGAGAGTGATACAATCGATTTATTATTTTTTTAAATATAAATTTAAATATATCGGCAAATACGCACATTTATATTATATAGATATGTATAAATTAATTGATATTTTTTAGCTGACGCCATAAATTGAAAACGGACGGACCGATATGCCTGATTTTTTTTTCGTGTATTCGTAAGATTATTATGAAAGACGATTTTTGGAAAATCTACAGGAAAAGTTTGAAAGTTAAGGCATCATCGACAAAATATCGATCCATTTTTATATATACAGATTAACAACTGAATAATTAACTTTATATTAATATAAATTGTCGGCCTATGTTCACAGGAAGGTATAAAACAAACACTGTGCCGTCTGCGAACGACAATTAGCTATAATACAGTACACGCGTTTTCTCGCTGTCGAGCGTCTCCACTCCCTGATAAGTTAGATTAGACTTAACTTCCTTTGAAATCCATCAACTCTCCCCATCTAAAAAAAAATCGAGGTTTCGTTATTTTTCGTATGAAAATCATGAAAAAAATATGATAATAGAACACTTATTCCGCCGAAGATGGACTACCCACTTTCCACTTTTTTTTATTCATTACTCACACGGTCAAAAACTAAAAAGGAATAGGAGTAAAAAAATCAATAGAAAATTGGCAACGCTGGGCGGGACAGCTAGTTATATTATAATTTCTTTGTTTTACTTTTTTTTCCTCTCGTCTCATTTATAGTCGGTCACGCGGGAACTTAAAATATAATATTGTGTTTGGTAAGTTTAATAATCAACATACATGGTTGTTATTGTTATATACCTACTCTGTTAAAAAATAAAAAAAAAACAGTTGTTTAACAGTGAATCACAACGGAAAACAATTTTTTTTTTATTAATGAAAATGAGTAGACGTAAACTGTTGCAGTATTGTATAGTACTTAGTCGATAACCAATGCTATAAGAATAATATACATAATTTCGATGGTGAAACGGCAAAAGGATCTAAACGAAGCTTTGGGTCTAAGAGGCACAGCTTCTCTATTGGATAGAGAAATACTTGTTTCGTCCATTGAGCGTGTGCAAAATGAGCTATGACCATTATTTAACGAACAATTTGAGTTTTAAGTTTTGGGTATAAATGACACTATTTATTTTGTCTTCTCAATTATAGGGGTCTAAATAAAAGCTAATCAACGATGCGTATTCATATTAAAGACGTACGAAAAAAAAAAAAAGTATTAAAATTACAAATAAATGTTTTTTGACTCTCCTGAAAACTATTATGAATTGTGCCGTTTAGACCCTTTTGCCGTGTCACCATCGATATGTTTATTTATATATTTATATTTAATTTTTAAATATATTATCGTTTCTATACTGATTATTGCCTAGAACAAAATATGTAAAATAATATATTATTCTATAAACACATCGAGAAACAAACAGTCGGATCCGACCCGTAAAATTTTTTGTCACCGAAGCAACTATAGTATTATATTATAGTCTTGGAAATTAATAACTGCGAGAACTGAAAACGTAACCCTTCGAGGAAAAAAAAAACAAAAACCACACGTGAACCCCCGAACACGTCACCGGTGTTGCCCGTGGTTACAACGTGTTTCAAAATAACAACCAATATCATTTATGGCTATAAAATGACGTTTCGAATAAAATTAGGTATCTCTATGGATAGTTAGGTTATAAATTAAAACGGATCAAACAATCCAAAATTTTATCTCTCATTTTTTGATGTTTCGCAATTTTTTTCCACTTTCAATCTTATTTTTATGGTATTTTTAACAATCTGTTTTTTTTTTTTTTTATAGATTGTACACGCACGTACTTGTTATATAAAACGTTCTTCTTTAATGAAATCTTTTATCCGGACCCTCACTTGTTGTTGAATGCAACAATCGAGACGAACCGTTAATTTATTTTCGGTTAGGCATCACTCATTTTTTTTGTTCAGTATACACACGATATAAAAGTAAAACTTGATCGTATCTTTCGGAATGCCGATCAAAATATATAACAACCGTTTTTTAATTCGGTTTGTTTTTCGTTAAACTTATTACGTATACTCTTTGTATTTTACGAAATTTCAGTATTTTTTTTCGGGAGGGGAAAGGTATCCTAAGCTTACCTAACCTATTTGATAGGGCATTTTTGTTTTTTACGTTTTTAATGCTTAAAATTTACAGTTATAAATAATTATGCAACGTCGTTATAAATGCGCGAGTCGTTTGCTATAAATGTTGACAAATTATTATCGCTTTTTGTTCATACCTAATATGCCTACCTATTATTACCTTACCGCGCCTACTACTCGTATGAAATATTATAATAACATTTTCGGAAAACATAACTATTTTCGACTGGGGTGTAAAACCCCCATAACACGTGTCCACGCAATCGAATAACAACGAACATATTACGATGACGAATACCTATTATACTGTTTTCTCCGGACGGGGGGGGGGGAGCAAAACGTCCCATACTTTAGCGTGCCGATTACGATCCGTACATCACAATAACAATAATAACAATAATAATACTGTTACCGTTTAGTAGTACCGCGGCTTACCAGCCGGTATCGAGCTTACACGTCCGTATTGACGTGTCCCCCGCCCCGCTCGCTAAACATTTCATAACCCGCTACAGTATACTTTCACCCGTAGTACTAAATCCGGCGGCTACCTGCACACAATCCGTCTTATCACTGTATATCCACTGTTCTTATCGCGCGAGCGTTTATTTTCGTTATTGCTAAAACTACCATAATACCGCATACCTACCGTGCGATCACGTAGCGATGCACAACACACGAGTATGGAGATTGCGCGCGTCGCACGTATGTTTTTTTTTTTCTGTTCTATCGTATACCGCCGCATACAACGTTCGTGCGATCGAGCATATTATACAAGTATAATTATAGGCGGGTAGGAGAAAAAAAAAAACGATCGGGTAAATAACACGCGGAATAGAATATAATATAGCCGACACATTTAGGTAGGTATTATTGTTTCCCCCCTCCCCCAGAAAAAAATAATTACCTTTTTCGTAGGACGTATGGCAGTAGAAACACGTATATCCGTCGTTTATGTAGTCGTTGCGTTCCATTTTTTTCTCTTCTTTCGGAGGGGGTCGCTACGACGCTCGGCGAGAGGAAATTCGGTAAACTTGAAAAACAACAGTCTGCGAGAGCGCGGCGCCGCGGAGCTGATAACGATAATACACTGTATACGTACGCGTAGATAAACACCGACTAAAACGGTACGGGTAGAAAAAAAACGAAATAATAATAAAATCGTATTTTTTATTTTACGACGACGGTCACTGTGTAACACTGTTACAACACCAGACGGCCGCCGTCCATTCGTCAACGAACCGTACAGACGCCGCCGCCGCCGTCTATCTCGCCGGCCGAATCGCTGAGCGAACGACCCGCCGCCGCCGTACTCGTAACGGTCCCGTAATTATTCCGCGGCGCGGCGCGGCACGATTCGCGGGCTGTGACGGAAAACGTACGAACCGATTTACTTATTACCCGCCGTGCGATTATGATACCGCGGATGGCGACGGCGCGAAACCGTTGAGCTATTGCCGCAGGCACGGACGGACGGCAGCTGTCGGGCGAAAAACAGCAGAGAGAAAAAAAAAAAAACAGTAGTGGAAAAAAAATAATAACAATAACAGCGCGGTGCTTGTCGCGCGCGCGTGTCTCGGTGGGGACGTTCAGCTAGACAGGCCGGCCGCGGAAGCACTACGAGCCACCGCCGCCGAGGACGACGACGGCGCCGCGGACGAAAAAAATCAATACGTACCTCATGTTCGCGAGCGGCGCGCCAAACGCTAGGACCGCGTGTGGTGCATACATTATCGCCGTCGCCGTCGCCGCATAACCGCGTTTTATTATTATTGTAAACGGAACATAATGCCGCGGCCGCCGGGCGAATTACGATTTCCCGCGTGTGTATTGTCGTCGTCGTTCGTCCGTGCCCCCCCCCCACCCCCCGTGCGTGTAAAACCGACGTATAAACAAAAACGAATCGAAGAAAAACCACCGGACGGCGCGGTTGGACGCTAAAATCCGGCGCACGTATACGACGTCCGCGAACTGCGTCCGGCCGCGTCAGTGGCGGCCGATTTCGCGCGTCCTACGTGGACGGACACGCACTTCGCGCGATGATGGGTGGGCCGCTGTTGTCGTACGTCGCCGGCAGGGTATGATATACAGGGGAATTCTACGTGCGTCTGTATACGCGACGATTAATCTTTGGCGTTCGCCAACGAAAAACGATTCTGAGCGGAGTATGGTTGCACGTGTTTTGAATGGCCGTGACATTTACGATTTGAAAACAACACATTCCGTACGTTTTCCCGGTTTTTTGGGAAAATCAAAAGATTACCCCGCCAAAATAGGAAATCGGAGCGAAATTGCTGATAGAAAAGATGTCCGCAGATAAAAAAACAAATCAAGATTAATCATCATTTGTAAAACCAATACATTCCTCGCTCCGCTTAGAATCTAAAATACGTCCTGCGTGTCCGGCACGTTTACTCGCCTTGTACCGGACCACGGTTCGCTATACGTGCGAACGCGATGGAGAACGTTCTCGTGTTTTGTCGGGACGTGTACGGTTGTTCGAATAATGATATAGAGGAATAATAACGGCTTGAGAACGTAATTTATGTACTTATATTTCAATTTGTAATATTTCAATACTATACTTAAATGTAAAATTACTTCGTTCGAGGGCCCCAACGAAACACAAAAGCAATCAAACAAGCGAACGGAGGAAATTAATCGAAAATAAAACCCGATTTGTTATGCAAAACCACGTCCGGTAGGCTTTATTTCGTGTGCGGCACATTAATATGTGACCGAACAGCGTTACCAAAAACGGTTCATACCTATTATCGTTTTCGGATAACCGTACTACACCGATTTTATATATAATGTTATCCAAGTTCTTCGTTTGTATATTTGAATCTTTTCGCATGTTATCGTTTACAATGTTTAACCTTACTGCTGAACATAGTCTAAAATACTGTTTGTATAAAAAATATATATAAAAAAAACTATAATAACAACAGACATGTTTAGTACAATGGTTAGACCACTGTAATGGTTGAGAAGTTGTAAAGTCAGAAGGGAAATTTAATGTATATCTGTATGTAACGATTGATCGTTGCCTACAAAAAATGATTCTGAGTAAAGTACGATTATACATGTTTTGAAAGGCCGTAACATTCACGATTCGAAAACAATACATTTCGTACATTTTTCCGTTTTTCCCAGTTTTTCCATTTATTATGAAAACCTCTGGGAAAATTTCTTTTCAGAAAAAGTGTTACATTTGAAAATTGGAGCAAGACTTCGGATATGAAAGTTGTTCACAGATAAAAATAAAACGAAGTTGATACTAGGGACTCTTGTAAGTGCGTAGTTGGGAAGTTGGGATACATAAAGTTGTTATTACTTTATATATGTAACTAACGATAAAACATTGCTAACGAAAAACGATTTGTAGTGAAGTTCGATTGTATACGTTTTTAAATGCCAGAGTATTTACAATTTTCGTCAAAATTTGATTTTAATTCTTATAAAAAAATAATAATTTTTCGTTATAAAAGTTGATCACAGATAAAAAAAAATAAAAATCATTGTATAAACAATACATCCTCGCTCTTCTCGGAATTTAAAATAATAATAAATTCCATTTGAAAAACTATAAAATGTTTACCTCTCCCAAATCAGTTATCACTTGTATTTCTATCTCTCAATCCTATCTCTATACTCTCTATGCCATTTGTTTCGTAACACATTTATTTTTTCAATCGTTTATGGAGTTTTGTTTTTAATTTCAGTTGTATTTGACGATTTTACGTCAGACACGATGTAACGTGTAGTTGCAGAGACGGCTATAATTAGGCGTATAGGTATCATGGTGTTTACCGCGGTGCAGTGCCGAACTCGATGTTTTTGAGAGGCAACAGGAGAATGTGTTAATCGATTACTCCGCCCTACTCTACAGCTAAAGATGAAACTCCTTAGCATTTTTTTTTTTTTTTTTAATGACCGTAGGTTCAAATAAGGTAGAGTTTGAAGCTTTTCCCTTATTAGAATTCATATAGGTGAATACTCGTGTCCCTTGCCATAGAAAAAAAAAATTTGTAAAATGATCACGTTTCGGCCAAAAAAAGATCTCTCTTATAGTCTCGTTGAAAAATTGCTTTAACTTTGGCCAATGTGTGTGTGGTTTAAAGCGTAAACACTGGGTAATGAAGGTTAACACATTAATTATTCCAGACGTGTACATTCCAGGTTTTTATAGGTACCTGTAGAAATACTAATAATTAGGGCTCGGAAGTTGCAGGAGCTAAAAAAAGTAAAATATGCATGAACAAATGTTAAATATGTAAAAAATGTAACAAATATGCAAACAATTACTTAAAATTTATTATACAAAAACATATAATGTTATTACTCATTAGTAATATGTATAAAAAATATAAAGATCAAAGGCAAAAGCGAATCACGCTGATGCGAAAATCAACAAAATATGCATTTTAAATGTTCGATTTTTAAACTCTTCATTGTATAGAAAGAATTTTTAGTTTGGTTTGCTATAAATCCAGTGCATACAGGAAAATGTGAAACTCCTATAACTTCCAAGCCCTACAGTAATAACTAATAACTAATAATAACAATATAACAAACTCATATCATCCCATAAATCTTTATCAATAATGTCGGCAGTTTGCATAATATTAGTCGATCGTCCAAAACGACATCATTGATAAGAAGACGTTGATAAGAATGTCACTGAAATTTCGTCGTGTGTCCCGCAATATAGTTATCACAGTAATATAGACCGCAGGAATGAACGAACATGAAGCGAACTCTGTACACATTCGGCCGTACCGTTTACACTGCTTTCACTTCTAAATCGCGAATATTATGTCATTTAGAGTGTGTCACTGTTGTCGAGTCAAGTCCGCAGATTTCGCATTCGACGTTTTATCGACAACGGTGTAATTATAACATTTTATACGCATTCGCATTGTAAAATATTTTGTACATTTCATTTACAACACATTTACGGATTGATTAGAATTATCGAAAAGAAAATGATTACGATAAGAATTATATTGATGAAAACAGATATGAATTCGTTATGAAATAGCTAGATTTTTTTTAAATTTAATTTTTTCCTCTAATTTGACAAGAATTATAAATTACTAAATTTGAATTTTAGTTCCATGTGCCTAATGAAGAGTGGTAAAAAATACGATATGATTATTGATAAGAAATTTGCTCTGATATCGAAAATCGCGGTATATTCTTAAATTTGTTGACACTTTTTTTTTACTTATCGTCCTTTTACTTTGCTGGTTTTTTGGACACCCCATGAAATTGGGAAAACCAGGTGCCTATGACACTCTCAACAGTGACATATCTAACAGCTGATACAGCTCTTTTTTTTTTTACTTTGTAGTTTATATACCATATAAGTATACACATACGGCGGCTAATACGTTGTCAATAAAATGTTATTCTACTATTCCGAATGGATACGGACGAAAAGAGTGACAGATTTCGTAATAAAGCTATTATTTTATTTTATATTACACTTCACGTTGTTTCGCAGTTCTCCGCGAGCGTCTATAGATTATTGTATGAAAAACCGAATATTGCAGTGTTGCTCGTACCTATTATACATAATTGTGCTTCGAAAAGTCGAGCAAATGTTTTTTCTCACCTACATAAACATTTTGTAATGTATTTTTATCAGCGTTTTAAATTCAGATTGGAGGTAAAATTCGATATAAACACCAAACATATTGTAATTTATTTTGTTATTCTAAATGAATACAATTTTAAAAAATCTCTCTCCGGTCAGAATCGTTTTTGTTTGTCTTTGTTGTCTACACATAAACATAAATAACCATAATATATATATATAAATTGCACTCTCGCTTAAAAAGTGACACAACTGAAAGGTACGCCACAATTTTAAGGGGGAAGTTAACAAGGTAGGATACATAAAGGCATTTAATTTATATCTCTATGTAACGATAAATCATTGCCGACGAAAAATGATTCTGAGCAAAGTTTGATTAGACAAGTTTTTAATTTTAGTAATTTTTAATCGTATATACCGGTGTTTCTACTAAACGTGTAGAGGCACCGGTCGCACAATAATATTATTAAATAACGAATATGATTCTGTCATAGTGTACCGATCTGAAAATAATATATCTATGGTTCCAGGGAAAGCCTTTATAATTTTTTGGCATTTGTTTTATAATTTTATCTAATATACCTACTCGTAATTGTTTCTTTTATTTTTCGGTTACATATAAGTGGTGACAGTAGCGCCGAACTTGAGGTTTTGTACATGCACCTTAAAAAAAGATGTTTGATACTTGATACTTCGGAGCAAGATTTCTAGTACAAATTTTGTACACAGTATAAAAAAAAATTCGCTGTTCGCTGCTTACACTAAAATACAACATTTTGTTAAATTGTTCGTATCTTTATTAAATGAATCAGATACTACTGAATCATTATACTTTCTATGTTATCTCCTCTTCCTTATATTTTTGTTGTTAAACGAAAGTGAGATAAGATATTTTTGATAATATGTATCTGTAAAATGCATAGACATATTATGATATCTTAATATGTCTATGGTAAAATGTTATAATACCAAAAGTGGTGAAAACACCATATGCGCCATCTACCAA